CTCAATCTACCCTGTTCTCTCCCCCATCTGTGCCTTGCCTTTTCATCACCTCGCCTGCCCACATAGCAGCGTCACGCAGGCAATGCCCACAAGACGTACATTCCGTTTCCTGGAGGGTTCAACACAATTATGTGGTTCATGATCTCTGTAAAATTACACTTCATTACATAATTTATCTCATCGCGTATAATTACTCTGCTCCTAATCCTGCACTTACATGTAAGAGTTTCTATGGCTGTGCATCCTGCAATTACACAATCATTCTCACCATCCCCACACGTGCGGTAATTAACGAGGAGGAAGTTGTGGGTACACAGCGGCACCCGCCCCACCCAACCCCGTTCCTGCAGCGGCTGCAAAGCTGCCTCCATGCTCTCAGGTTCCCATGTCGCTGAGCACCTGTTTGGGTCCACCAGGTGAAGGCCCCCGAGGGACTTTATTAATTTAATTTTAAATATATATATTTTATTGATTTTTTTTACACGGAGAGGAAGGGAGAGGGAGAGAGTTTGAAACATTGATGAGAGAGAAACATCGATCAGCTGCCTCCTGCACACTCGTACATGCCCTGGACCAGAATCGAACCTGGGACCCTTCAGCCCACAGGCCGAAGCTCTATCCACTGAGCCAAACCAGTCAGGGCTATCAGTGGGACTTTAGAGGAAAGATGGACTGCTATCCTGCTTTTTCCTTCTCTTCACTCGGTCCGCAGCCCATGTTGGTCGGCATTGAAAAGCAGGTGTGCTGGCCAGTGTGGCTCAATGACTGAACATCAACCTATGAACCAGGTCACAGGTGGATTCCCTGGTCAAGGCATATGCCCGTTACGGGCTCAATACCCAGTAGGGGGCGTGTGGGAGGCAGCCAATCAATGAGATAATCGAACTGGCAACCCTTGGGTACACTGGGCCACTGCAGCTTGGCAATGTGTATTAAGTCACTAAATCTGTGGATGTTTGTTATTGCAACCACAGGAGGCTAAGACAACGAGCTGATGGACCAATGGGAGGTGTTTTCCATGAACATGAATCACTTTTCAATGAAAAGTTACATTAAGCCGAAACCGGTTTGGCTCAGTGGTAGAGCGTCGGTCTGCGAACTGAAAGGTCCCAGGTTCGATTCCAGTCAAGGGCATGTACCTTGGCTGCGGGCACATCCCCGGTAGCGGGTGTGCAAGAGGCAGCTGGTCGATGTTTCTCTCTCATTGACGTTTCAAGCTATCTCTCTCCCTTCCTCTCTGTAAAAAAATCAATAAAAATATATTTAAAAGTTACATTAAAACACTACACACACACACACACACACACACACACACACACACACACACACAAACTACATCGTGGCCGATGTGGCTTTGTTGGTTGGGCAGCATCCTGTGCACCAAAAGGTTACTGGTTCGACTCCTAGTCAGTCATGTTGTGCGCTAATTGACGTTTCTCTCCTCTCCCTCTCCTTCTCTCTAAAAAGCAATAAAAACATTTAAAACACTATCTATAGGAAACATTACCCTGGAGGGTAAGAGCAAAGGAAAGCTCTAAGTTAGATAACTGGATGTGAGGGTGGGGCATTCAAAATGAAATTCAGGTTCCCAGGCATGGCCAACAAGCTTCTAACCCCTTCAATCTGGAGGCAGAGCCTGAGAATCTGTTTTAATTGGAGACAAAACAAACAAAAACACTGCGTGCCACAAAGACCCGCTAGACTCATGCCCCCACGAGATGGAATGCACTGGGTGCAGAGTCTCCGTCCTGGCACAGGGGGCTGTGGGAGCCCCCTCATTCTTTGTTCTGGGGCTGCTCTGTGCTCTCTAGGATGTTTATTTATTTTAAATATTTTATATATTTTATTGATTTTTTACAGAGAGGAAGAGAGAGGGATAGAGAGTCAGAAACATCGATGAGAGAGAATCATCAATCAGCTGCCTCCTGCACACTCCCCATTGGGGATGTGCCCACAACCAAGGTACATGCCCTTGCCCGGAATCGAACCTGGGACCTTTCAGTCCGCAGGCCGACGCTCTATCCACTGAGCCAAACCGGTCCCAGCTATTTAAAATATTTTTTATTTATTTTTTACAGAGAGGGATAGAGAGTTAGAAACATAGACCAGCTGCCTCCTGCATACACCCTACCAGGAATGTGCCTGCAACCAAGGTATGTGCCCTTGACCAGAATCGAACCCAAGACCCTTCAGTCCACAGGCCGATGCTCTATCCACTGAGCCAAACCAGTTTCGGCTCCCTAGGATGTTTAGCTGCATCTCTAGCTCCTGTCCACTCGATACCAATCGCATGATCACCAGGAATGCCTCCAACACCAGCCCATGTCCCTGAGGAACCATGTCACTCCCGATTGAGATCCATTGGATTAAAATTCGATTTGAAAACACATAACTGTCACAGCTGTGTCTCCAGTGTCCCCTAAGAGGGGGCTGGTTACTCACCTCAGATCGGCCACCTGGATGAAGGGTGAGGCGCTAACAAGGAGAGAACTACGCTGGCCTCAGCGGGCAGCGTTAACCCAGGGGCTCAGCTGTTACCAGCTTACCCATCTGAGTGCAGACTCCAGCAATAAAGGTGTTTCCCACGATCCTGCTCACTGCGAGCTGTGATGTTCTCCAAGCAGACGGCCCAAGCCGGGGCGGTCCGCCCCCACAGAACCGTGGACGTGACAACCCAGAGAACCGGCAGAACCACCGCGAAGATCAGGTCCACGAGAGGTTGTGAAACTTTGGAAGGACATTGATCCCATGTTTAGGAAGTAAACATGTGTTGGAAGGGGGGGGGCGGGGAGAAAGTAGGTTGCAGTAGTTTATGTAACATGATCTTCTTTTTAAAAATGTGTTTATTGATTTCAGAGAGAGAGAAAGGGAAAGGGAGAGACAGAAACATTAATGATGAGAGAACCATGGATGGATCAGTGGCCCTCCACACGCCCCACACTGGGATTGAGCGTGGAACCCGAGGCATGTGCCCTGACCAGGAATCAAACCGACATCTCCTGGTTCAACCACTGAGCCACATCAGCCTGGCACAAGATTCTATTTTTAAAAATATGTATGGATATGCCCCAGGCAAGTGGATAAGGCTAGGTTTTTTTATTTTTTTTACCAAAATGTTCTCCGAGGACGACTTAATTTTGCTCTTAGTTTGATCAGTTGCACCCTAAGGACTTAAGGATCTTGAGAACCCTTAACTATTTGACACAGAAAATCAAAATCCCTGAGGTGGGACCACTGAGGCCTCTGCTGGAAGCCATGTCCCCGAGATCCCCAGGAACCCAACTGCCTGCAGGTGCTCCCACAGCTCCTCCTCCTTCTGTCCCACCCCCGTCGGGGCTTCCCGTGGTGACCTCCTGGGTACCGAGCTCTGAGTCTGTTTTCCGGGGACTCCCCACCACGGAAGACCCCCTCCACATTCTGTCACCCGAAACAAGCCTGCAGCTGGCCCCACAGGACAGAGTGAGCTGGACCACCTGTCCCTGGATTATTTTAGGGACATTTTATGGGACAGGCTGGGCCACAGCCTCTCACTGCCCCTCACCCACACTGACTGACACCCCCTCAGCCTCTCCAGCACTGGCTCCATCCCACACCTTGGCCAGCAACGACCTGTTCTTTCTCTCCCTCCCTTCCTCTCTTTCGCAAAATCACTACATGATTCCTCAGGCGAGGATTGAAAAAGAGAGAGATCACAGACTCCCATGAAAACCATCCAGGACCATTTAATAAAAAAATAAGCAAGTATTCCAGGATCCGGCCCAGGGGGCAGTGTCCATCCGAAGAGGGAAAGCATGGCGGGCCAGCTCCGACATTCACTTCCGGCTGAAGGCGCAGCAGGTCCTCCAGCCCGGGCCAGGGGGCGCCCTGACCCCCTGCAGACAGCACCCCAGGGCAGCGGAGTCCCCCGAAGGCTTAGGCAGAGGAACCCCACCGAGCAGGCGGACACCACACCTGAGACACAGGCCAGGGAGGTCAAGCACACAGGACCAGGGGGGACCCAGCCCCAGCCTCACCCCTCCCCCTCCAGGGGGGCTGGGCACAGGAGCCTGCAAGCAGCCATGTAGTCAGTGGGGCCAGCAGAGAGAGGTCACCCTCCTTCCCGGGTGGGGGTCTGCACAGAGCTCAGGTGACTGGGGGGCGAATAAGGACTCAACCTCAACCATTCGCTGATCCCACTGGGAGTCCCCAAGGTCTGTACACAGCAGGCACTCAATAAATGCCTAATGCACGAAACAAAAGGACTCTTCTTGTTCCTATCAGCACGCATGTGGGAAATCAAGTGTAGGGACTTAACAACTGTTCTGCTGTTTCGTATCACTCACGTCTAGCGCACACAGTAGGCGCTCTTCGGGGGGGGGGGGGGGGGGAGAAGCCAATTGAAGAGTAAAAAGCACCTTGTTTACCTCCATGCTTAGCACCCAGCTCGGCTTCTGGCTCCCAGCAGGCACTCAATAAAAGCACGGAGTTGATAAGAACTTCTGTTTCTCCAGTACCAGGCACACACACAGAGTAGGCGCCTGATGTGTGTTCGAATCAATGAAAGCGTCTCCTTTACCTCAATATTCCCAGATCCTGAAATGGTGCCCACGGTTCAGCAGGCAACTCAATAAATACTTAAGTTAGTTCTTAAACGATGAATGTGTATCGTTAGTGCCCGATTCTTGGGGAGGGGTGTGTGTGTGTGTGTGTCAATACATGCGTGATGGCTGAATCGTCACCGAGGAGATGGTTGCGCCTCATTCACCGCCATCACCCACGCGCCTGGCGCACAGCCCACGCTTACAGAACGCCAGGCACGCGGCGATGAACGATGGCTTGTTCCCACCCGACCTCCCAGTGCAAACACCGCGCCTGGCATGCAGCAGGCGCTCCATTAATGCTGCCTGTGAGTACACGACTGCTGAGCAGGGGCCGCCGGCCGCCGGCCGCACGGAGAGCCCTCCGAGGCCTGCCGGGCCCGCGCCGCCCACCCCCCAGGGCACGGGGAGGCTGCACCGGCCTCAGAGCTCGTCCCGGGCGGCGCTGTCCAGCGGGGACTGCAGCACGTCCGAGTTCTTGGCCTCGCGGCTCAGCGCCTGCTGCTCCCGCATCTTCTGGGACTTGGCGCGGTCCCAGTCCGTCTTGACGCGCTCGTTGTTCCACACCACCGAGGTCTCCGTGTCGCTCACGTAGCCGTCGTCCCCCGTGTAGTGCGTGGGGAACACCAGCAGGGGCTCCACCGAGAAGGCCCGCAGGTTGCGGGGGGAGAAGTGGGCCTTGTACTTCGACCTGGGGGGGGGAACAGGGAAGAAGGGGCAGCCGTGGGTGGAGGGGAAGGGATCGGCGGAGGGAGAAGTGGAAAGGGACAGACTTTTGGCTCAGTGGATAGAGCATCAGCCTGCGGATCGAAGGGTCCCGGGTTCGATTCCGGTCAAGGGCATGCACCTAGCTGAAACTGGTTTGGCTCAGTGGATAGAGCGTTGGCCTGCAGACTGAAAGGTCCCGGGTTCGATTCCGGTCAAGGGCATGCACCTGGGTTGCGGGCACATCCCCAGTGGGGGTTGTGCAAGAGGCAGCTGATCGATGATTCTCTCTCATGGACGTTTCTAACTCTCTATCCCTCTCCCTTCCTCTCTGTAAAAAAATCAATAAAATATATATATATATTTTTAAAAAGGGACAGACTGAGACAGAAGGGGAGGGAGGGGGGGGATTCCAAACGAAGCCAGACACGGAGGGGACACCCAGAGGAAGTGGGCAGCGAAGATGGCACTTCCTGGGGGCCCGAGCTCCTCCTGCCCACCCCTCCAGGGCTGCCCCCCGAGGCCCCGCCGCCCGAGCAGCCGCTGCTCACACTGGGTGCTTGTCGAACATGACGGGCAGGAACTCGTCCACGGGCAGCATCTTGGAGAGGGGCTGGGCGGCCAGCAGCTTGCGGGCGCCTTGCAGGGAGATGACGTAGGCCAGCGTCCAATAGGAGTAGTCGGCCTCCACCAGGTTCCTCACGCGGGGCACGGCCTTCTCGGGGTGCTCCACCTGCATCCGCTTCCGGCCCACGTAGCTGGGGGTGGAATGGAGACCGTCACCTCCTCCCATCCGCCAGAGCGTGCTGACCCGGCCCGGCAGGGACCTCCTGAGCCTGGCCAGGCCCCGGGAGGGAACATAACAAGGAGGCCAACGTGGCAGCACTGGCAGAACCACAAGGGTCTGTGGCCCTCAGGGAGGAGGGTGGGGTCTTTGCTAGGGCACTGGGGAGCCATGGAGGGATCTGGAGCGGGGAGATGGGATTTCTGGGACATGCTCTGAGGCTGAGCTACGGGGAGGAAGAGGGGCTGAGAAGGAAGCTGCCCCGGGTTCGGGGGCTGTGCGGCAGGGGAGGAGGCGGTGCAAGGCTCTGTGAGCAGTCAGGAATGAGGCGGTGCCGTTACTGTCAGGGCCTGCACACTGCAGGAGGAGAGGGAAGAAGGGAGAGAGGGGGAACCAATCCCCCACCCCCCATATGAGATCCCAAAGAGCCGTCCCAGAAATACGCTGCGCACACCTGACCTGGTGCTGGGCCAAGGCCCAGGCCCCCTGGCTACTTCCCACCCTGGGCCAGCTCTGAGCTCCCAGCTGGCCCCCAAGGCCTGGCCACACCCGCCCCAGGCCGCACCCCGGCCCCTCAGCCCGCCCACAGACTTCCTGGGCAAATCTTCGCCACCCTCACCCACCCCAGGACACCTCACGTCTCCGAGCCCTGAGGAGCCCTCCTGCCACAGGCAGGGCCCTAGACTTCCCGGTCATCCTCCACCTTCTGCCCCAGCCCTAATACTCTCAGGTCCGCCCTCACGCAGGCCACACACACACACACACACACACACACACACACGCACACACATACACACACATACACACACACACACGCACACACACATACACATACACACACGCACACACACACACACATACACACACACACACACACATACACACACACACATACACACACACACACACACACACACACACGGCATCCTTCCGCTACATTTCTAAGAGTGGCCCAGCTAGTGCCCTGTGATACCTTCAGGCCCGGATGCTCTTCTGAGCTCTGGCCCCACCTCTAGGCTCCAGTTCTACCCGCTCCAGACCACGCCCCTGAGCCCAGGCCCCAACCTCAGCCCCAACCCACTCCACACCAGGCCCCAGAGCCCTCTCCCCGGACCACACCCCTGAACTCTGGCCCTGCCCCAGGCCCCCAGTCCACCCCACCCCACCCCACACTTCACCCCTGGGCTCTGGCCAGGCGCCAGTTCTGCCTCTGCCCCAGGCCACGCCTCCTGGCAGGGCCCCACCCCCGGGCCCCACACTCACATGAGGTCCCAGTCCAGACCCTCCTTCTCCACATCCCGCATGAGGTTCATCAGGCGCCTCTTGAAGAAGATCTCGAAGCGCAGGTCATCCTCGAAGACCAGCGATTTCTTCAGTCCCTTGTCCACGACCTGAGGGAGAACAGGGCCAGGCCTAACACTGAAGCCAGCTCAGTTTACAGGCTCCGGGGCAGCAGGAGAGAAGAGAACGCACCCCTCACCACTCCTGTCTGGATTGACTTCTAAAGACTACCACTTCCTAGAACATGCAACAGATGCCCGGGCCTGGCTGTCCCTCCCCATTCCGGGGCCTGGGCCTGTGCTCACACAGCCCTCTCCCTCATGCAATAGCAAGTAGACTACCTCTCGCCCTGTAGGCTTCAGCTCCAGTGTTGCCCACCTAGGAGGTCCCTCCTGACCACCATCCAAAGCTGCAAGCTGAGGACAATTCATACCCCTAGGTCCCTTCTCCAAGTGTCTCTTGCTTATTCCACTAGAATCTGTTTCTTTGTGGTTTACCAGCATCCACCGATTTCCCAGGGTTTGTGAGCCCCTTGCAGGGGGCGGGGCCTGTCCCAACGGCTATCATGTCCCCAGCTCCAGGCCAGGCGCCCAGGAGGTGCTTGGCAAATGTTCCCGGAATCTTCATGACTGCCCTCTGAGGCCAGGACTGTCACATGGGGAAACTGAAGCGCAGGCTGCGAAGAGCCTTCCTGCTCACAGTGCTCACCCCTCTCGGAGGCAGGGCTGGACCTAAACCCGGACGTGTCCTGGCTTCGGGGCTGTGTGGGCACCACAGCCTCCGCCCCATGCCATCCACAATGAGTCTCAGAAAAAGAGGGCAACCTAAGCGAGCACTCACGAACTCAAATGCCTGCATACCCTCCCCCCAGAGCACCCTCCCACCTGCATCTGGACACCACATCCGGCTTCCTGCCTGGTAGTCCCGGTTCGAATCCCAGCCTGGCCTCCTCACCTCCCACAGCCTCTCCGGGCTAATGCGCTAGCCCTGGCGCGGGCTCTGTGCCAGTTAATGCCGCCCCGGCTGCTACCTCTATTAGGAAACGTCAAGACCAGAGTCCAGGCTCCAGACACCTGGAAGCAGCGAGGGGTGAGGGGCCACACTTGGAAACTGGGCTCACCCCTCCCCCTTGCCCAGTCTCAGTCTCCACATCATCTACACGGTGGAAGGACACTCCCCCACGAGGGGCCTGGACCCGCGGCAGCCGCGGGGGAAGCACTGCCCTCCGGAGCTTCGCGAAGGCTGAGGAGGACCCTGCCCCACTCTCTTCGCCAGACACTCTGCCTGCCGGACTCGCCTCCTTCCAGATGTTGTAGTGGCTGAGGAAGCAGCCCAGCTCTCCCTTGGTGAGGGGCCGCCCGTGGTAGGGGTCCTGGTAGCCGGGCAGCATCTGGATGCCCAGGGCCTCCACCTGGCTGGTGTTCATGGCTCTGGAAGGGGGGACAGGCAGGGGTCAGTGGAAAACCCATGCAGCCTGCTAGTCCACCGTCCGTCAGTGCCGCCTCCTGCCGAGCAGCTGCTCCCCTCTTCAACTACTGCCGCCCCCCCTGGACCCGTGGCCAGGTCTGCAGGGGGTGGGCCACCCCAGTGTGGCTCTGCCAGCCCTCTCCTAGGGTGAGACTCACTTCCCCTCCCCCACGGACCCAGCAGCATCCTATACGGTCCACACCCCACACGGTCTCCGTCCCGCACGGCCCACACCCCGCATAGTCTACACCCCTCTCCAGGGCAGGGCTCCCTTGCACCCGTGGCCCCGCCCCCTGCATGGCCTACACCCCTGCGCTCAGAGATGACTCACTTGCCATCCACAGCCTCCACCAGCCGGAACTTGATCTCCTGCGCCCTCAGCGCCCAGAGCATGCGCTCCCGCCGGTCCTGCCGTCGCTTCAGGTTGATCATGAAGACCTGTGCACAGAGCCTCTGCTGACTCTCGGCCCTCAGCTCCCCACCTTCCCCCTCCCCACCCCGGAAGGCCCGGCCCACCTCGTCAAAGCCCATCTTGTCAGGCGTCTTGGCCGGCACCGAGACGAACCGGGACGGCTCTGCTGGGGGGTGCTTCACTGCGGGGCAGAGAGAAGCCAGGGGGTGCCTGGGTCACAGGGTGGGGGAGTATTCCAACCTCTTTCCATTGCTCCCTCCGCATCCCCTCCACGGCCCCCATACCGCCCTGAGCTCCCCAGCCTGAGGTTGGAGACCTGCCTGGCCTGTGCCCAACCACATTACTGGTGCTAGTCTCTCCCTCTCCTCCTACTCACTCTGGCCGTTAGCACCAAATGCATCCATTCCTACCTCAGGACCTTTGCACATGCTGGGTCTCTGCCTGGAACACCCTTCCTTCCTCGTCCCCCTACCCCAGTTCTCAGCTAAGATGCCATGCCCTCAGGTGGAATCAGGTACCTCCTCCCGCTCCCCTCGGCACCGGGGCTCCATCACCAAACCTCCACCCTGCCATCCGAACGCACCGTCTGTCTGCTGTGAGCCCCGTGGAATGACCACCCAGTCTGCCCACTCACCCTGGGTCTCCCGTGCCCAACATAGGGCTCAGCACACAGCAGGCACCCAATCACTGCTCAGAGAATGAACCAAGGATTAATGACCTTGACCTACCGGGGCCTCAGACTCCTCATCTACAAAATGGGCTGATCACACCTCAGAGGTGATGCATGAAATGGCGCCATGAAAGTACACCTGCGTGGGGTGAACGGCATCCTCCCACAAAGAGTGAAGCTGGTGTCCAAACCCCTGGGGCCCCAGAATGTGCTCTTGTTTGGAAACAGAGTCTTTACAGAGCTGTGTTCAAGGCAGAATGAGGTCATTAGCATGGGCCCTACTCACCATGACTGGGATCCGGATGAAAATGGAAAATCTGGCTGGCCGGATGGCTCAGTAGTTGGAGCATCGTCCCAACCACCAAAAGGTTGTAGGTTTGATTCCCAGTCAGGGCACATTCAGGAGGCAACTGATGGATATTTTGATGTTTCTGCTATTGATGTTTTTCTCTCTCCCCACTCCTCTCTAAACATTCATAAAAACATATCCTCAGGTGAGGATTTTAAAAAATATATATTTTATTAAGTTTTTACAGAGAGAAAGAGAGATGGAGAGAGAGAAACATTGATGAGAGAGAAACATCCATCAGCTGCCTCCTTCACACTCCCTACTGGGGATGTGCCTGCAACCAAGATACATGCCCTTGACCCGAAATGAACCAGGGACCCTTGAGTCTGCAGACTGATGCTCTATCCACCGAGCCAAACCAGCTAGGGCTGGATTTTTATTTTATTTTATTTTTTAATGGAAAATTTGGACACAGAGACACACAGAGGGAAGACAGGGGAAGAAGACGCCATCGGACTGAGTGATGCATCTCCAGGCCAAGGTGTGGCCAGAGTTTCAGAGCAGCCGTGACTGCCCCCTTCAGCTGCTATGAGCAATGCTGAGACCACACCCACAGCGATCTGGGCACACGCCCGTGGTTCCCCGAGCAGGTCAGACTTCCAGGTACGCACGCGCCTGCAGCGGCCCCTGCCCGCCCCTGGCCGCCCAGAGAAGCCCAGCGTGATCCCAGGTGTGGTGTCTGCTTCTCCGAGAACCAAGGCCCCCTGTGAGCTCCAGGGACACACACAGGCCTCTCTGTCTGGTGGAGGCCTGGCCGAGGCCCAGAACTAACCCAGAACCTTCCCCCCCACAGCCTGGGCCTCCTCCAAGGCCAACACGTCCCAGGCTTCCTCCCACCCGGAGTCCTTCAGCTCCCGGCTGCCCCACGCTCCGTGGGGAGGCTGAGACCAAGGCAAGACTTTGGGATCTCAGGACACAGGCTCCAATCCCAGGTGCCCCTTCCCTTCTCTCCCTGACCCTCCGCTCAACCCCCTTATGGGGGCGGGGGGAGGGGGGAGAGAACCAGCCAGCGGGGAGGGCGGGATCTTGTCATCCGGAGCCTTCCTGCAAGTCCGAACCTTCACTGTGAGAGACCTCTGAACGCGTGAGAAACCCCACGCACAGCCCGGGTCCCGGTGCCCACATGCGGACGGAGAGGAAGGATTTACACACTAATCTGAACCCCCCGGCCCTCCTTCCATCTGTTCTGTGTGCTCAGCTCGGGCCCTCCAGAAAGAAACAGGGAGGCATTCATGTCGCGGTTGAGTTTACAGCAGCAGTGTTAGTGGTTTCTTGACCAGAAATAGTAACAGAAATAGAGGTGGAATTTTTGAATTAGGAAAACTACGGCAGCCACGCTTCCAGGCCCCGTCGCAGGTGGGAGTTGGCGACAAGCAGAGGCCTGTCTCTTATGACAGTGGCCCGGGGGGGGGGGGGGCTCCTGGCCTGGGCCGGAGCGTCTGCATGTGACGGACACTGGGGCATTGTGGGGTCTCCACCCTGGTGACCTTGGTCATTTCCAAAGACCAAGCAGAGAGTGTGCCATCCCACCTTCAGCCACCAGGGAGACACACACACATACACACACACACACTGAGAACCTTCTGGAAGCAGGTAAGAGTTGGGTAACAGACCAACAGTGGGAGCCTGGATCCCCCCCTCCAACCCCCACTGTACAGATGGGGCCAATTCTGACCCCATCTGTTCAGTGGGGGTTGGAGGGGCTGCTGTGGAGGCCTTCTCTGAGATTTGTGACCAGGGAAGGCAAAGCCCCCACGGAAACGGACACTGTCCCATTGTCCCCCTGCTCTGGAGACACCCCCGTCCTCCAGGAGGCCGCGCCTCAGCAATCGGATGGCAGCTCGGCCCTGGGGGCTCAACCCGTCTCGGGGGGGCCCCCCAGAGGCAGGGCTGCTGGTGTAATCATTTATACATTTATTTATCTGTTAGACATGCGCTTGCGACTATGGTAAAAGTATGTAATCCCCTTTTCAAAATAAACGTATGCAAGTAAAACAAAAGTATACACAGAAGATATTTATGAAACAAGCAATGGGTCTGAGGTTTGGAAACGGCCCAAAAGGCTGTGGCCCAGATTCCGGCACATAAAGATTCACCAGTGAAAACCTGTCCTCCCTGCTCCCACCCCCTCCACGGCTCCTGACCGCCCCTGAGGAAAACCAGCGCCAAAGCCGCTGCCTGGCCCGCCAGCTCCGCCCGCTCATCAGCCCCACTTCTGCCCGCCGGCCTTGCCTGCTCCCTGAGCGTGTGTCCCCTCTAGCCTCCCAGTCTCTGCAGAATGCTCCCTCTGGCTGCAGTCCCCTTCCAGGTGACTTCTACTCCCCCTGCCTCATAATGCCGCCTCCTCCTGGAAGCCCACCCTGACTGCCATGCATAGCTGCTGCAAGCCAGGGCTCCCTGAGAGCAGGGACAACTGTCCCCCTTGTTCATGCAGGTTCCCAGGGCCCGGCACAGGCACCAGCACCCAGCAGGTGCCCAGTCAGTGTTCAGGGTATGGGTGTGTGAGGGCCGGGAAAGGGCCGCGTGGGCGGACTCACCCATCACCTCCAGCTGCACGTGCAGGAAGCTCTCGGCCTCGTCCTGGAGGGTGCTGTGTGAGCGCAGCGGCACTGGCAGGAAGCCGTACATCTCCTTGTTGCACACGTACATCTGGACCTCTGGGCCAAGACAACAATCCAAACTGAGCAACAAGGGGCAGGGGCCACTTCTGACCACAGCATCCGCCTCACGGCCCAGGGTGGGGCTGGAAAGAAAGAGTCCCGTCCACTTTTCCCAGAAACCCCTCAGATCTCCATCCGGGACTCAGCCTCGGAGTCAGAACAGGGGTTCCCGCTGGCAAGCGAGACACGGACAACCAGAACTGTGAAAAAGCACCTATGCCCGGCGGGTGTGGGTCAGTGGTTGAGTGTCGACCTAAGAACAAGGAGGTTATGGTTCCATTCCCGGTCAGGGCACACACCCATGTATCAGGTTTGCAGGTACAGAAGGCAACTTGGTCAATGTTTCTTGCTCGTGACTCACTCTCTCCCTCTCTCTCTCTCTCTCTCTCTCTCTCTCTCTCTCTCTCTCTCTCTCTCTCTCCATGTCCTCCGGTGAGGATTAAAAATAAAAAAGATGCACATTTTTTTCTTTTTCTTTTTTTAAATTCTCACCCAAGGATACTTTTCCATTGATTTTTAGAGAGAAGGAAAGACAGAGAGAAATATCAACGTGAGAGAAACACATCGATTGATTGCCTCCTGCACACTCCCTGACTAGGGCCTGGGCCCGGGAGGATCCTGCAACTGAGGTATGTGCCCTTGATTAGAATCGAACCCAGGACCCTTCGGTCTACAGGCCAACACTCCAACCACTGAGCCAAACTGGCTGGGGCTGATGCACATTTCTGCACACAAATGGGACGCAGTTGGATAAAATGTTGGCAAGGTGACCTCCATCCGTGTGTGTCCTTTTCTGGATGGTGAAAATTTTTATATCGAGTGTGAACTTTAAAAACTTAGTAAGCCAATGAAAATAATTTTCATTTTAACTGGCTAACTTTTTATACAAAGAGCTAGATGGTCTAAATCTTTTAGGCTGCTGGCCTGACAGTTTCTGTCTTAACAACTCAATCCCGCCCTTGGAAAGAAGCAATCAAAGACAACACTTAAATACGTGGGTGAGGCAGCGAGCCAATGACACTTTCTCTATAGGCACTGCAACTTGAACTTCATGCAATTTCAGATGTCACAAAATATTACTATTCTTTTCATGTGTGTTTTTTTTCCCCCCAACCGTTTAAAAATATAAAAACCATACTTAGCTTGCACCCATACAGAAACAGACGGTGGGTCAGATCTGGCCTGCTGGCCAGTTTGCTAACCCTTGATTTAAAATAAATGGCAGGTGAGCATATGGCTGTGTTCTCGTGCTTTTTTACTAATTAAACAATTAGGGGGCAACTATGTTCAACTACAGGACACTGGGAGCATGTGAGACAATATTAACCTGGAAATAACCTTCACTAAGTACCCTGTTTCCCCGAAAATAAGACAGTGTCTTATATTGATTTTTTTCTCCCAAAGTTGCGCTAGGTCTTATTTTCAGGGGATGTCTTATCTTTCCATGCGCTAGGTCTTATTTTCGGAGGATGTCTTATTTTCGGGGAACCTTCAGACCTGGGAGGCGAAGACCCTCGGCAAAGCCAGGGCTGGAGAAAGATGGGGTCTGCGGCCCGCGTCTGATTGAACGCCTGCACACAGCCCCGCCTGCAGCCGCCCTGGGCCTTGCGTGCGTTCTGGTTCTGTGGTCGGACCCTCTGTGGGTCCGACCCTCTGTGGGTCGATTCTAATCAAGGGCACATACCTCAGCTCAGATTCCAGAGAACCACCCGGCTGCATCCCTGTGACAGCAGCCCCCGCGGCTCACCTGCCTGCTTGCAGGAGAAGGCGAACACGATGATGTCATCGAAGGACCAGGTGTAGTCGCTGTGCGGCGGGTAGAAGGCCAGGCTCCTGGACGCCGCCTTCCGCAGGTCGATCAGGAAGGTGGAGTGCACCATGGGCACCGCGAAGCAGCCCCGGCGGTCCCGCTTCCGGATGGGGATGTAGGCGGGGGTGCGCTTGTAGTAGCCCTGCAGGGAGGGGCGGGGTTCTCACGGGGGTCCCCTGAGGGGGGCTGGAGACCCAGGGCCACAAGAGGCATGGGACCCCTAGAGAGCACGGCCCAGCTGCCAGCTCCTGGCCGGGGTGGGCATTCCCTGAGCGCCGTGCTCGGGGCGTGGCCAGTGACAGGCTCCACCCCGCACACCGGGGCAGATAAAAGAAAACCCGCTGGCCTCCTGCAGACCGGGCCCCACACTGCAGACCAGAGAGGCGGCACGTGAAGGAGAACATTTAAAAGCGGAAAAGGGGTTTAACAACAAACTGGACTGCAACTGAAAACAAAACAAAAAACAGTCACATCCGATGTTGGTAGAATGCTAATTGCTTCATTCTTGGAGAATATTGCAAAAATTGTTAAAATTTAACTACTATGACTTGTGCCCCCAGGAAAAACCACTTTGAGATTTATCCCCTAGAAATAAAATGTGTACTATGTTCGGCTTTAGTGGGATAAACCTAGTTCAATGCCTATCGATGGAATTAATGAAACGTTATGTGACTATTTAAAAAATAGTATGGGTTAGCTTGCACCCATACAGAAACAGACGGTGGGTCAGATCTGGCCTGCTGGCCAGTTTGCTAACCCTTGATTTAAAATAAATGGCAGGTGAGCATATGGCTGTGTTCTCGTGCTTTTTCACTAATTAAACAATTAGGGGGCAACTATGTTCAACTACAGGACACTGGGAGCATGTGAGACAATATTAACCTGGAAATAACCTTCACTAAGTACCCTGTTTCCCCGAAAATAAGACAGATCTGACCCACCGTCTGTTTCTGTATGGGTGTAAGTGTTTGCCCTAACCGGTTTGGCTCAGTGGATAGAGCGTCGGCCTGAGGACTGAGGGTCCCAGGTTCACTTCCGGTCAAGGGCATGTACCTTGGATGTGGGCACATCCCCAGTAGGGGGTGTGCAAGAGGCAGCTGATCGATGATTCTCTCTCATCGATGTTTCTTTTCTTTTTTTTCATATTTTATTGATTTTGTACAGAGAGGAAGGGAGAGAGATAGAGAGCTAGAAACATCGATGAGAGAGTCATCGATCAACCGCCTCTTGCACACCCCCTACTGGGGATATGCCCGCAACCAAGGTACATGCCCTTGACCGGAATCGAACCCGGGACCCTTCAGTCCCCAAGCCGACGCTCTATCCATTGAGCCAAACCGGTTTCGGCTCATTGATGTTTCTAACTCTCTATCCCTCTCCCTTCCTCTCTGTAAAAATCAAAATCTATTAAAAAAAATAAAAACAAAAAATGTGTTTGAGTGTCTGCTATTCTGATGGGATGCACAGTTGCACTGTTCAATGGAAAAATCAAATTATAAATTAAAGCATAAAACTCAGTTTTTACATGCAGTAAATCCTACATGTGTTCATGTTTCTGGGGACATGAATAAAGGTGTGGGAAGACGTATTTCTTAAAAAACTGAAAAAGGGTCTGGACCTTTGACATCCTTTGATTTACATATAAACTGAACGTCAGCTTAGTTTGGAAGTTTTAAAAGCTTCTGGAACAATCCCAAATCGCCCTCTCTTTTCCTGGGCCCTTTGCACATCAGAATTTCTGGCACAGCATTTAGATTCCTCCTTCTTGTCCGCTTTTCCCCTCCATCGCCCGTTCCTCCCCGCTCCGCCCGCCCCATAACGTTTCCATTTCTGAGACACTTTTCAAGACGGAAACCACCGAATTAGTCGCTTTAAAATGATTCGATGTTTTCTGAACTGCGTGTCAGATAAAAACAAAAAGGAGGAGGCAGGAGAGGTCAGCTTCTGGCTCCATCCTCACACACCACCCTCCCCCGACCCCCACCCTCACCCCCGGTCCCTCTGTCACTCCCCCTGGCTTGGCCTCAACCCTGGGAGGGATGGCACAGGCCTGGCCAGCCAGAGCCTGGCATTTTCTTGGCTTCGGTAACTGGTCCAGGGGTGAGAGACGGACAAGGCCAGTCTGAGGGGACTTCAGCTGAATGCTGCGGGGCCATCCCCCAGGGTCTGAGGACGAAGCCACCCCCCAAGCGAGGGAGGAAGACGGGAATGCTGTTTGAACGTCTGAATCGAGCTGTGCCCGCCGTCCCGTCCTAGCACCTCTACTTCGTAGCCGGGCGCTGAGCAGTCACTTCCCCTCTCAATACAGGGAAGAGGACCCTGCCATGGGGGCCGCCTAAGGACGATCAGGAAGGGGTGAAACGCTCACCATGAGCTGGTGTGATACTGTCAGGCCCCCACGTGCCTGGCCCAGCCCCCCGGCCCCCCCGCCCCCCACCCCCGGCGCCACCCAGGCCGCCGCCTGACCTGCGAGGTCATCCCGCACCAGAAGTTGGAGTACGCGGCCCGGGAGTCCAGCATGGGCGCCACCACCGTCTTGTTCTCGGCCATGAGCAGCGTCAGCGTGTCGGGGTTCAGGATCAGGTTGTCCGCGTCCACAAACTGCAAAACACCCAGCAGGACGTCACTGGGCCGCCCGGGCTGGGCCATGGCTCGGGATGAGGGGGCAGAGGCGGAGTCCCGGGGCCTGGAGAACCTAGGGCAGCACGGATGCCATCCGGTTCCCCAGCCCAGCTCCACCTTAGCAACAGCCAAGTGACAGCCACACAAGGAAACAGGCCCCTGGGGAAGGGGCAGGCAGGGCCCACGGGCCCACAGAAACACGAATGGCCCCAGACACGGCGCTGTCGAGGCACCAGACATGACAGGGGTGTGCCATGTGGTTCCATAGCGGGAACTTTACCACAGGCAGCTGGTCAGTGAGGAGGGTGGGAGGGCCAGAGGTCACCTCGAAGAGGAACACACTATTTACTTTTTTTTTTTTTTAATATATTTTATTGATTTTTTACAGAGAGGAGAGGGATAGAGAGCTAGAAACGTCGATGAGAGAGAAACAACGACCAGCTGCCTCTTGCACACCCCCTACCGGGGATATGCCTGCAACCAACGTACATGCTCTTGACCGGAATCGAACCTGGGACCGTTCAGTCTGCAGACCGATGCTCTACCACTGCCTTTTTTTTTTTTTTTTTTTTTTTTTTTAGAGATGATGAGTCTGCAAGAATTTCTTTTCTTTTTTTTTTTTTTTAATATATTTTATTGATTTTTTTTTTTTTTTTATACAGAGAGGAAGAGAGAGGGATAGAGAATTAGAAACATCGAGGAGAGAGAATCATCGATCAGCTGCCTCTTGCACACCCCTTACTGGGGATGCGCCCGCAACCAATGTACATGCCCTTGACTGGATTCGAACCTGGGACCTTTCAGTCCGCAGACCGACGCTCTATCCACTGAGCCAAACCGGTTTCGGCAAGAACATACTTTTTTCTCCAGGAGTTAATAAGAAGTTCTTCAAAATAGATAGTTTGTTTTTCTTTAACACCTCGAATGTGGGGGTAAAAAAAAAAATGGTAACTTGTTTATTACAAAGAAAAAAAGTTTGGAACAATCAGGTAAGGATGTTTCTGTCCTGCAGGTGCCATACATAACTATTAGGAGATGGTTTAAAAAAAAAAAAATGCATCTGGCCCTAGCTGGTTTGGCTCAGTGGATAGAGCGTCGGCCTGTGGACTGAAGGGTCCCGGGTTCAATTCCGGTCAAGGGCACGTGCCTGGGTTGAGGGCTCGATCCCCAATGTGGGGAGTGCAGGAGGCAGTTGATGAATGATTCTCAGTCATCATTGATGTTTCTATCTCTCTCTCTCTCTCTCTTCCTTCTTCTCTGAAATCAATTAAAAAAACAAAACAAAACATGCATCTGGCCAGGCCAGTGTGACTCAGTGGTTGAGCATCAATCTATGAACCAGGAAGTCACTGTTGGATTTCCAATCATGGCACATACCTGGGTTGCAGGCTTGATCCCCCCCCAGTAGGGGGCATGCAGGAGGCAGCCAATTGATTATTTTTTTCTCACCATTGTTCTTCCTATCTCTTTCTCCCTTCCTCTCTGAAATCAGTAAAAATATATATTTTTAAAAACTGCATCTGGTCCGCAGATATGCTGCCCATTACTCGCATGGGCTTTTTAGAGTGTCTGAATCACCTGAGGTAAACAACAGCCAGAGCAGGCATTCCGGCTCCTCAGGCACCATGGACGGCATGCCGCCTGGGCCCTCGGTGGAAGACAGGAGGCTGGCTGTGCAGGTATGAATGTCCCCCACCCAGCCCCTCTAGGACATTTAAATTTCTGACCTCAGAATATATGTACAGCCAAAACCGGTTTGGCTCAGTGGATAGAGCATCGGCCTGCAGACTGAAGCGTCCTGGGTTCAATTCTGGTCAAGAGCATGTGTCTTGGTTGCGGGCACATCCCCAGTAGGGGGTGTGCAGGAGGCAGCTGATCGATGTTTCTAGCTCTCTATCCCTCTCCCTCTCTGTAAAAAATTAATAAAATATGTATTTTTTTAAAAAGAGTGATGGGGGAATTGTTTAAAAAAAAAAAAAGAATATATGTGCAGTAAAAACAGCTCGAACAGTTCAGAAGGTCCTCAAAAGTTAAGAACATAGTTATCATGTGACCCAGCAATTCTATCCCTGAGGACAGATCAAGAGAACTGGGAACAGGGACTCCAACAGATACGTGAGCACCTGTGTTCACACCAGCACGATTCACAGCGGCCCAAGGTGGAAACAAGGTGAGTATCCGACCACAGACGGACGGATAAACAAGCGGGGTCCAGCCCTCAGTGGAATATCACAGCCAGAAAAAGGAGGGAAGCACTTCCGCCACGACACGAAAGAACCCCGAAAACCTCCTGCCGAGTGCGAGAAGCCAGACCCTAGAGGCCGGTGTTGTGTGACTCCATGGACACAAAATGCCCCGAACTGGCAAGTGCAGAGGCAGAAAGCAGATCAGTGGCTGCCAGGATGGGAGGGAGGGGGGTGGTTGTGACTGTTTTGGGATGATGGATTGTTCTGGAACTAGACAGTGATGATGGGTGTACAACACTGTGAATGAGCCAGAAACCACTCGATTCCATACTTTAAAAGGCTAATTTTATGTTATGTAAATTGCACCTCAATTTTAAAAAGCCAGAAAGTGGGTCTCTCTGAAAGATAAGATTACAAGGTGTGTTTCTTTCTTTCCTAAACTCCTTATTTTCCCTTCTAGATTTTCTTACAAATAACACTGGCAGTGTTTGTAAAAGGGGGAGGGGAGGAAGAGGCCCTTTTTACAATAATTTTAAAACACTGGACAAGTGATTCCACATTCCAATATGGACTTGCAAAGTTCCCAATGTCAAACATAACATGGTGTGTCAAAAGCTGCTTTGCGTTTTGATCCCACACCTGGAGTTCTACCCAGGTTTGCTGAGGGGAAAAGCGAAGATCAACCTCAAACCATGAAAACAAAACAGGCGCGGCGGCTTATGCAGGACGCCTCCCGGCAGGGCCATCCCACCTCTGTGCCAGCCCAGCCAGCTGAGACCTCCCTCCCCAAGCCTCTACTTTCCCATCTGTAAAATGGACTCGGGGAGTATCTTCCCAGGGGACAGCTCTCTCCTCCCCAAAGGGCTCAGGACCCTCACGCAGGGCCTGAACCCACCTGCCTTTCTCCACAGCCCCATCCCTCAGGCCTCCACCCCCGCCTCCTGCTGTCCCCACTCCTGCCCCAAAAGATGGGGATCCCATAGCAGCCACAGGGGCTCTGAGAATCTTACATTAGAACACAGCCCTCCCCTGCTTACATACCATCAGAGTGAAAACCAAGTCTTTCCCTCAACCTGCACAGGCCAGCCCCCACTCACCATCTCGGCATCACGCTCTGTCATCATGCCATTCCAGCCACACGCGCCTCCTCTCAGTCCTTGAACACCCAAAGCTTGCCGCCTGCTGTTCCCTCTGCCTCAGATACTGTCCTCTGGCCTCCCCTAAGGCTGGCTCCTCTGCTCCTTCAGGTCTCTGCTGGGGTCCCCCCCCTCACCCCCGCCTCAACCCTGCTCACTCATCACCCACCCTGGCTACGCCATCCGTTGTGAGTGTTGGAAGTCTAACTCCTGGTATCTGTGGCTCTGGCCTTATTTGGAAATATGGCCTTTGCAGATGTAAGACGGGGTCTTGCTGGATGAGGGGGGCCCTAAATGCAATGACCGGTGTCCTCAGAAGAAGAGAAGAGTCACACAGGAGAGTCGACCATGTGACCACAAAGGCAGAGACTGGAGTGATGCCGCCACAAGCCAAGGATACCTGGGCCTCCTGAAGCTGGAAGAGGCAGAAAGGATCCGCCCTGGGAGCTTTTTGGGGAAGCACAGCCCTGCTGACATCTGGGTTCCGACTTCCAGCCTCCAGAACCGAGATATTACACTTCCCAGAACACAGTCCCCCCAGAGTGTGGGACAGAGTCCTGGGACACAGGGTCACCACCAAATGCCCGTCTACGACTTCCCAGCTGGGCCTGCCTTCGGATGGTGCCTCTCTCACTTTGGTTTTCCTGGCCACATCCACCTTTCCCGGGACACCAGCAAGGAGGGGCTCAGCCTGTGTCCCCAGGCTCGGCAGGAGGGCACTGGCAGGGGTCATGAATGTGTGCTGATGGATAAATAAAAAAGGCACAGACTTCGACTCCGGGCCGGGCACATACACAAAACCAGCCACACGGGCATCCCTGCATTCGATCTCCCTGGTGGCCCTGCCATCAACTCCCTCCCCATCTGCCCAGGGGAGGGAGTCCCGCCAGGTCTGGTCGAGGAGACAGGAAGGCCCGGGACCTGTGGGCACTTATCCAACAAGATTTCGTTTTGCCCCCTCCTTCCCAGAGGCAAAACAGGCCCAGGAGGAGGAGGAAGTGAAAATCTGGCCTCAGCAGCTCCGTGTCACCAAGTTCCCCCGTCCCCAGCCCCCCTTCCGGCTTCTCGAAGGGACGCAGACAGGGTCACTGCGGGTGTGTAGGATCTGGTGTCACTCGTGATGGCGATAAACATGGAGACCAACCAAGTGTCCAACCACAGAGGATCCATCTGGCGGGTAGGAGTCCGGGGTCCCCAGGTTGAACCCCAACTCCACCTAACCAGCCGGATCGCCTCTGACAGCTCACACTCCCGCTTGTGCCTCCGTTTCCCCCTCTGTAAAACGGAGATAAGGAGGGTGTCCGCCCGCACTGCTCTGCCTTCCCTTCGGACACCCCGACGCCACCGGTGATCCCGGCAGGAAACTCACCAAGATGTAGTCGGCCCACATGTCCCGGGCGGACTTCAGGGCTGCCTGGCGCAGCTTCATGACGTGCTCGTAGCGGGCGTCGGACCAGTGCTTGGGCCCCTCCTCGTCTTGGTAGGACCTGAGGAGAGGCAGCTGTGATTGGGGGAGGGGGGAGGGCGGGCACTGCGGGGGCCCAGACAGGGCCCAGGCGGCAGAGCGGTCAGAGGGGGGTTCCTGGCGGAGGGATGGCTAAGCTGGATCTGCAGGCTGGGAAGAAGCAAGCAAGGGGAGGCCAGGAGGAGGGAGGTGTGTCTGCAGCAGGGGGCCGGGCAAGGTCCAAGGCCCGGAGGGGAGAAGTCCAGGCCATGGCAGAGAAGGAAGAAAGCTCAGCAGGAGGGGGAGTCGCTGGGAGAGAGCACAGAGCAGAAGAAAAGTGGAGCCCTGACCAATTCAGCTCAGTGGACAGAGTGTCAGCCTGCGGACTGAGGGGTCCCGGGTTCAATTCCAGTCGGGGGCATGTATAATACCTGGGTTGTGGGCACATCCCCAGTAGGGGGTGTGCAGGAGGCAGCGGATCGATGTTTCTCTCTTATCAATGTTTCTAACTCTCTGTCCCTCTCCCTTCCTCTCTGTAAAAAAAAAAATCAATAAAATATATATAAAAAAGAAAATAAAAGAAAAGTGGAACCTGTCCACGCAGACTCAGAATCTGTAAGGCTGTAAGGCTGAGGGCAGGTCGAAGGAGTCAGAGGAGCCAGGGCGCAGGGGCGAGGATTCGGAGGCAGGACGATGGGAGTTCTCGGAGGGTGTGTGGGCAGGGGTGCGGCCGGGAGGCCTCCCTCCGGGCAGGGCCTGGCACTCACCGGGGCTCCTCCGCCGGCCGCCACTCCACCGAGTGGTACAAGGTCTTCACGGCCACCAGCCATTCCCTCAGCACTGCCGTCGTGTTGTCTGCGTTGTGGTCTGTGGCCACCCTGCGGGCGGAGGGGGACCATCAGGAAGGTTGGGGAGCCCAAACCAGGACAGGGCAGCGGGGCCCGGACCCGGGCTCCACACCCTGGCTCAGCCTGAGGGGCAAGGCGATCCCCCCTCCATGCCTCAGTCTCCTCTTACCACTTCCCTGGCTGCAGAGAAGATTAAACAAGCTAATTTTAGAAAACCACAGGAGACACTGCTAGTACTATGGAGCCAATAGGACCCTATCAGAAGCTGGGGTACTAAGTATGTGAGACTTCATAAACATACAACTACATCTGACAGCCCCATCCACCTTCCTCCCGCCTCTCCTATGACCACCACCCCCGCCACAGCTGTCTCTGAGACATCAGCAGCGCGTGGGCCATCCAGGCCAGGGGGCCTGGAGAAGAGGAGAAGAGGGACATCTGGGAATGCAGTTTGGGCCTGGAGCCCAGAGCTATCTTCCCAAAAGAAGCGTCACTAAGTTGACAACAAGGACGGCAGTGATAAGAGTCACAATCAGGGCAGTTCCTGGCGGTATCCCATTGCCCTTCCAGGAAGGGCCATGCCCCGCCCACGCGCTCCGGTTAGAAGGCCCGATTCAGGCAGGAGTGGAAAGACACACAGCGGGTGACGTGCACTGTGGGCCACCGCCGCGCCCTGGCTGGGGTCCCGGGCTCCCCTTCCCCGGAGCCTGCGCGTGTTCCCAGCGGTTCAGAGGGTTGGGCAGGGCGGCCTGCCTGGGTGTGGTCCCCGATCTGCCCTAAGGGGGGGCAGCAGGCAGAGCGAGGGTCTTGCCCATCCTTATGCGGGACAGGGAGGGCGCGGGGAGGCGGGGCCGCAGGACAAGGCACGCGTGGGTCTGGCCTGCAGATGGGGGGGGGCAAGAGGCAGAGAGCGCGCGTGGGTCTGGCCCGCCCCGCCCGGAGCCGGGACAGCGCGCGGGACGCGGCGCGGACCGGCCGTCGGGGCAGCGGGCCGGCCTCCCGGCGGCGCCGCACTCACCACAGCGCCGTGCGCTCCCGCGGGTGGCGCAGCCGCTCCAGCGCGCCCAGCGTGGCTGGCAGCGCGTGGGCCGCGTTGCGCGCCAGCAGCGCGATGAGCACGCGCGGCGCCTGCAGCGGCGACTCGGGGCTCCAGCGCTCCTCCGGGAAGTAGGCGGCGGCGCCCGGCGGGCCCCCCGGGGGCGGCAGCGCCAGCAGCAGCAGCAGCAGCAGCTCCGGGAGCGGCCGCCCGCCCCGCCGGCACGCGCGTGGGGCCGCCGCCATCGCGCCACGCGTCTCCTTTAAGCCTCTTTTCTGCCGGCGGACGAGGGCCGCGCCTTAAAGGGGCCGTCGGAGTCCCGCCGCGGCCGCGCCTTAAAGGGGAGGAGAGCGCCCGCCTTAGTCTGGCCTCCGGGCACTCCTTCCAGGCCCCGCCTCCCAACGCCTTAAAGGCACAGAGTTCAGGTCTGTCTGACATGGTAGCCTCTGCCCTGTCCAACACGATTTTATTAAATCCTCATCGAGGATGCTTTTGCCAATGATTTCTAGAGAGAGTGGAAGAGAGGGAGAGAGAAACATCCACGCGAGAGAGGCACCCCCCCTAACGGGGCTGCGGAGCCTGCAACGGAACTGCAGGCCTTGACCAGGAATCAAACTGGTGACCACCCTTCAGTCCGTAGGCCGGGGCTCTAACCACTGAGCAAACTTGCCAAGGCCCATCCAACTTTTATTTGTACAATCCCTGGGTTGTACCAGGCGGACCTGGATAATTAGGTCCGAAAGATCTGAGCCTCAGTTTCCCTGGCTGCAACGCGGGTATTATCATCCTGGGTCCCCACCTCACTGGGTGCCCTGGAGGCTTATTGGGTATTAAGCGCGTGGACCCTGGGGTCCCCAGACACCCCGCATGGGCTGCTGTGTGAGCCTTCATGTGTCCGCTGTGAAACAGGGTTATACTGACCCCGCAGGGCTGGCATGCAGAGGAGCCACGTGACGCTTTAACGTGCTGAGCACGTGTCCTGGAGGCAGGATGGGCTATTCCATGGAAATGTTACCAGGAGACTGTTTTCCAATACTGGGCTGTATTTCCTTTCTTTCTTTCTTTCTTTCTTTCTTTCTTTCTTTCTTTCTTTCTTTCTTTCTTTTTTTTTTTTTAATATTTTATTGATTTTTTACAGAGAGGAAGGGAGAGAGATAGAAAGTTAGAAACATCCATCAGCTGCCTCCTGCACACCCCCCCCTGGGGATGTGCCCAAAATCAAGGTACATGCCCTTGACCGGAATCAACTCAGGACCCTTCAGTCCACAGGCCGTAGCTCTATCCACTGAGCCAAACCATTTCGGCTGGGTTGTATTGTATTTTCTAATTGGCCGTGTTGGGGTCATTCCTAAAAATTAAATTTCAAGAAAGATGCTCAGATGTATATTTATTAATGTGCATGGCAGCGGGTTAAGGTTGCTAGGTACAACTCAGAAATGGGCTTGTACGTCCTGGTGGGCACGCAAGATGGGGCAGTGAGCTTGCGGGGGGAGCCCCAAATCTCCCAGCAGGTCTATGGAGTCACGTGATACTCGCCCCTCCTGCTCTTCAGGCTCTTCCCCTTGTCCAAACCCTTCCTCTGATGACTTTTCTCTACTTCGCTTCTGTTTCCCGATATATATATATATATATTTTTTTTTGTGGGGACACACACACACACACACACACACGCATTTAGGAAACTTGTGCTTGAGTTCATGGCGAGAACCATCGCGGATGCGGCAGAGGAATCTCGGCGTTAACTCCGAGAAGTGTCACTTTATCTTGCAGCGCCAGTCCTTCCTGCCGCTGCCACTGTGGTTTGGCCTTCTGCACCGGAGAGGGCGAGATTATTAAATCCCTCAAAACCGTTTTTCTTGGCCCATCGTCCTGGTTCTTTTTTTTTTTTTTTTTTTTTTTTTTTTTACTTTAGAATATTTTCTCTGATGCTATTATATTCAACAGTTAATATTGTTCATCAGATTTTTTTTTAATTTCCTTGGTTTTTAGATTCACTTGTTGATAGTTACATATTTGTTGTTCATAATTTTTATCTTTATTTACTTTCTCTTCTGAAAGAACCCCCTTCGGCAATTCATATAATTCTGGTTGGTGGTGATGAACTCCTTTAGCTTTTTTTTTTTTTTATTAGTGAAGCTCTTTATCTGGCCTTCGATTCTGAGTGATAGCTTTGCTGGGTAGATTATCTTTGGTTGTAGGTTCTTACTATTCATCACCTTGAATATTTCTTGCCATTCCTGTCTGGCCTGCATGGTTTCTGTTGATAAATCAGAAACCTACCTATAGGTGCTCCTTTATAGGTAACTACCTGCTTTGCTCTTGCTGCTTTTAATATTCTCTCTTTGTCTTTTGCTCTTGGAATTTTAATTATGATTTGTCTTGGTGTGGTCCTCTTTGGATTCCTTTTGTTTGGAGTTCTGTGTGCTTCCCAGACTTGTAAGTCTAATTCTTTCACCAGGTGGGGGAAGTTTTCTGTCACTTTTTCTTTCATTATGTTTTCGATATCTTGCTCTCTCTAATCTTCTGGGACCCCCATAATTCTGATGTTGGTTTGCTTGAAGTTGTCCCAGAGATTTCTTACATTATCTTCAGTTTTCTGGATTCTCTTGCCTTCTTGCTGTGGAGGAGTGTCTTCTGGCTTTTATGTTCCAAATCTTTGACTTGATTCTTGCGTTCTTCCATTCTCTTTTTAGGACTCTGTATAATATTTTTTATTTCAGACAATGTATTCTTTATTTCTTGTTGATTCCTTATCATTTCTTGTTGATTCCTTATTAATTCTAGTTGATCCCTTTTCATATCCTCATAGGTCTTATCGACCTTTTCTAGGAAAGTCTTGAAAAACTTTATAAGCGTAGATTTGAACTCTATATCCAGTCACTTTTTGTCCTCCATTTTTTTCGTTTGTGATCTATTTCATTGTCTCGGCATTTTTGCAGCTTCCCTGATGGAGCGGGGGGGGGGGGGGGGGGGGGGGGGGGGTTCAGGGTGGAGCCTACAGCCTTGGCTTCCTATGTGGCTCCTGAGACTCAGGGTCCTTTAGTACTCGCTGCAAGCGCCTCTGAGAGAAAGGTGCCCTCGATTTTCGCCTGCTACCAAACAGTCTAGTCTCTCCCCCAATGAGCCCGGAACTGGGGTTCAGTTCAGTTGGAAATGGGGTTGGAGGTGGCATTCAGAGCAGTCTGGAGCTCCAGTCTCCTTCCTGCCAGGGCAATCCCGCGGCACAGCCGAGCGTCCCTTCTCTGCGCCCAATGTGCGCGCCTCCGGGACCTCCTTTCACCGCTCCCTTGGGGTTCTGCCTTACAGCCCAGCTCCCTATGGATGAGCCTGGGTCCCCGGGGTCTGGCCTAGAACTGGGGTTCAGAGCAGTCGGAACTGGGGCTTAGCACAGTTGGACCTTTTATCTCCTTCCTGCTAGGGAACGCCAGCCAGGCACTCAGCCTCCCTCCTCTCCGGCTCCGTCCTCTCAGTGCGCGCCTTGTGTCTCTGTTCCTTAGGCTTTTACAGCTCCTCCGCGCTTCCTTCTGGCTTTCTCCTTGCTTCTCGTTGTAGAATTTCCAGTCAGTCGACTTTCCTGTAGTTCTGGGTAATGTCCGTTTTATATTTTAGTTGTATTTTATTGAAAGTGTGTGTGCGGCTGCGGTTAGGTGTTTACCTGTGCAGCCATCTTGGATTCTCCTCTGTTATCCTGTTTCCCGATATTTTTTCAATTGTCTGCACAGGTTGAGTTTGAGGCTGAATATTTTATTTTTTTATTTTTATCTTTTAAATGTTTTATTGATTTCAGAGAGGAAGGGAGAGGGAGAGAGAGATCAGCTGCCTCCTGCATGCCCCCTACTGGAGACCGAGCCCACAATCTGGGCATGTGCCCCTGACCGGAATCGAACCTTGGACCCTTCAGTCTGCAGGCCAACGCTTCATCCACCAAGCCAAACCACCTAGGGCTGGGGCTGAATGTTTTAGAAATGCAGCCCAGGCTTTTCTGGCTCCGTGATTTGACTCTGAGCGGAGGAAAAGGGGCCTGGCGACAAAAGATCTTGCATATTAAGCAAGAAAAACAGGGTGACAAGTGTCTCCAGTTCTGACACTCTGAGAAAAGAGAAAAGACCGGAAGGAGTTAGACCCCAGGGCAAGCAGTGGTTTTCTCAGAGTGGGCAGGATGACAGATTCTTGTTGCTGCAATTGCCCCAGAATAACTGTGGACATCCTGTGTAAAGACAAGCCAGCTGGACGGGGCTGTGGAGCACAAACATATCTCAGAAGATGGTGGTGGAGGGGGGCAATCCGGAAACGTGAGGGAAACCTTATTCTCTTGGGGAAGGCTCAAATCTCCAGGACAGGATGGGAGGAAACCATCTCTGGGGGGTGTCGGTCCCCGCTGAGAGCTGAAAGGAGAAGAACATTGGGGAAGTCCCGCAGGAACCTGCTCCGGAAGCAGCTGGAAGGCTTGTGACCTGGGGAAGCTGCCAACTCGAGTCCACAGATGACTTTTCTGGCAAGCAGAGCGCAGTCCCCATACGTTCTCTCCGCTGAGAAACTTGTTACCGAGTTAAATTTGAGAGCTGTGTAAGCAAACCCAAAAGGCCCACAGCAAGCTGAGAAAAAAATACCTGTAATCTGGATACAAAGTGTTAATACCATTACTATATACAGAGTTACCAGGGATCAATACCAGGAAATCCATGAACAGACAATTCAATGATAACCCACACACATATAAATGGCCAATAAACATTTTTATTTTTTCATAAATATATATTTTTATTGATTTTAGAGAGGAAGGGAGAGGGATAGAGAGATAGAAACATCAATGATGAGAGAGAATCATTGATCAGCTGCCTCCTGCATGCCCCCTACTGGGGATTGAGCCTGCAACCCAGGCCTGTGCCCTTGACCACAACGGAACCCCGGACCCTTCCGTCCGCAGGCTGATGCTCTATCCACTGAGCCAAACCGGCTAGGGTCAATAAACATTTTTAGATTCATTTTAGTCATCAAACAAATTCAAAATTAAAAAAATGAAGTGTGTGTGCCCATCAAGTTGACTTTTTTTTTCTTTTATGAAAATTCCTAATATTTGGAAAGGATATGGAGAATATGCACAAATTCTGCTAGTGGAAATGTGACAAGGCACAGCCCTTCAGGAAAGGAGTGAGGTGGAGGTGAGTTGGTTGTGAAAGCCTTGAAATGGCTCATCTGACTCAGAAATTCCATCAGTAGACACTCATCTACTGGTCATGAAGATGGCTGCAGGCAGATTCAGCTCCGGACCGTCCTTGGAGGCAGCAGCGGGCAGAGTGGCTGGACCTCAGTGCAGGAGCCTGGCTGCTTGGGACAAGTCCCTCTCTGAGCCTCAGTTTCCTCATCTGTAAAATGGAACGTGTCACAAGGATGCCAAAAAAAATTGGACACATCAAATGCCTGGCACATAATAACTGCTCATGGGATATTAGCAATAAAAATTTAATTTGTAAGCACCTAGAACCTAAGTGAGCCTAGGAGAGGAACAGAGCTCCACAGAAGCGCTACAAACTGTTCTAAAACGCATGAAAAGATGTTTATTTTCATCTCTAAGAAGATGTGTCCATTCAAATGAAAAGCCAAGGCACCATTTTCCACCAAGAAGGTCTGAGAAATTTCACGTCAGCTGACAGCCTGTGGGGTATGGGGCCACCTGCACACAGGTGAGGGGCAGCGACCAGATGGGACCACCCTGACGGACAGAGCATGAAGACCACTACTGGAATGACAAACACACATGCTCTGAACCACAAGGTGCCACATCGAGGGATTTTCCTACAAACACCTGCACTCGCCTGAAAAATACACAGGAGGCCGTCCCCTGTGGTGTTACCTGTGTGAGGGAAAGACATAGAAGCAAAACCCATCATCACTTAGATCCTGGTTAAACAGATTAAGGAGCTTCCCTACAAACTCTCGTTGCCAATTGCAGATCACAAAATAGTCTGAAGTCTTGGTAAGAAGTCTTTGTTTAATCTTCTGTGCATCCCAATGTGTGTGGCTATCCATCAATTTATCTGCAGCGACCGGCTAAGGCAGTGGCCACCAAACTCATCCGTCAACAGAGCCAAATATCAACAGCACACGATTGAAATTTCTTTGAAGAGCCAAAAAATTTAAACTTAAACTTTCTAACGCCACATCTTCAAAATAGACTTGCCCAGGCCGTGGTATTTTGTGGAAGAGCCACACTCAAGGAACCAAAGGAACTCGAGAGCCGCAGTTTGCCCACCACAGGGCTAAGGGATACTGCCCTAGACCCGTGTTAGTTAGCAATAGCTGCATAACAAATGGTCCCTAAAATTCGCAGCGGAAAACAACACACATCTATTATCTCAGAGTTCCCATGGGTGAAGAACATGGATGCAGGTAGCTGGGTCCAGAGCTCTCCAACAGCGGTTCCCACGGAGCTGTGAGCCATTCTCAAATCCCTGCTCCCCTCACAGGGCCCTTGCTCAGGGTGAACCCAAGCTCCCACCGCCACAACCTCTCCTTTCAGTGCTGGGAACTCGTAGCTGCTGGGGAGGCCCCACCGAGTTTTGGCCAGATGAGATGGGACATGGATTCACAGCAGAGCCTGGGCTAAGAGGGTCCCTCTGTGACTCTAACACACTCGGTGTCTCCCCCCTGCTCTTGTTCACCACGAGCTTGGCCAGACCAGCCACACCAGGAGACGGGTGGACGCTGTCCCATCAGGGACGTACACTGTCCATGATCCCATACACCCTGTAAAGACCCCCCCTACCCCCCATCAATTCACTGGCATGGCCCAAGAACCCTCACCTGCTCCCGCCTGGTCCCATGCGGCCTCCGAGCAGCCATCCCGAGTGCAGGACACGTCGCTGGCACCGAGGGCCTTTTTCAGTTCTGAAACAACAGATAACTCCCTGGACCCACCTGGAGAAGCCTGGGCATCAGAGAGCCTCCATCATTCTCCCAAAGGAGCCACAAAAGGGCAAAGGATGGAGGAGAGGGCTCTACTGAGAACTTCAAACAAATGGCTTATTTGAGCCTCCACTCTCCATGCCTGTGCCCAAGACAGACATTGCTAGCTGATCCCCGACATCTTCACCAAGCCAGATGCTTCCAGATCCACCTCAAAACACTGCACTCCAAGCAAATGTCACAAATCCATTTAGGATGAAACCCCTCAAGGACATGGAGAACCTCTGGGAATGGAGGAGTTACCTGTTTGGGGATTTTTTTCCCCAATCATAGAATAGCCTTTTTTTTTTCTTCTTTCATTTAAAGTGTCTCCTAGTCAACTACCCACAGATGGAGCCCACATCCTCACCCTTACTTCCTGGCTCCCAAAACACTGCTGTCCCCTATCAAACGGCCCTGTCCCTGCTTCCTCTTTCTGTCCTTCAAACACAGGCTCTCCGGGATGCCTCCCCGTTCCCTACGCTCCATTAGCAGGAGGCGGGCTCTCCTGTGTCCTCGGTGACCCCCGGGCCGGCAATGCTGGCATCTCTGCCCCCGCCTCATCCTCATCCCTGGACTCCGTCCTCTTGGCAGCTGCCCCTGCTTGGGCCCATCATTTGTTCCCAGGCCATCCCCTCGGCCTCCTCCCTCATTTTCCATCTGGCCACTGTCATCCTCTGCTCACACATCCTCTGCTCACACACCCTCCAGGACTCCCGATGCCTGTCATTCAAGCCCCTGCATGTCTGCCTCGGCAGCCTCCAGCCTCCCCTCCTGCTGCTGCCTTTCCCGCCCATGGCGAGGGCCACGTGGATGCCGTGACCTGCCCAGAGTCGCAATTACATGCTGCTCAGCCCTGAGTTACTGCACACGTCTCAGCGGTCGCAGACATTGGGTTCTGAGTGAGCAGACAGGGCGGGAGGGAGAAGAGACAGTTCCGAAGCCTCTTCCCAGGCAGGAGACCCTGGGAGGCCTCGCCCAAGTCCAAGCACTCTTGGGGGCTCACTGCCAGCCAGCACAGGCAGTGATTGCTGATGACTAAATGTGAATGTCCAGCTGCAGGCTTTTAATTTTGCCTCCTTCCCCTCATGCTGAGAAGCCCTACAGACCCCTGAGAGCCTTGTTCCAGTGTCCTCACTCAGGGAGCTGCTGTCCTGCCCCTCCCGGCTTGTCCACCTCTGTCCCGGGCTGGACCCGCAGTCAGAAGGCTGGCGTTCACCGGAAGTGAGGCAACAGGGCTCAGCATCCGCGGCCAGGGGTCCCCAAGCTCCCCGGAGCCACAGGGGGAGGCTCACCTCCATCGATCCTCTGCAGCAGGGCCCCCCGTATGACATCCTCGTAGATGCCCTCGACGGTCAGGGCAGGGCTGCCCACAGCAAGGACGTCCCCTTCGAACTCACGCAGCTCCTGGAAGGGAGGGGGGTGAGGGCCTGGGCTGGAGGGGTGGACGCTTGGCAGGTGCCAGCTCCCGCTGTGACCCAGGTCTAGGTGCCTGGGTGGCCCTGACCCTCATTTTCCTCGCCTTTAAAATGGGTCTCCATGACCTGCACGCCCTCGGGTTGCCATGCAGATGGATGCAACGAGCACACCCCACCTCGACAGGAATAGCACCGATGTCTCTTCTAGAAACTCTGCCCCGCCCCTGCCACAGCCACCTCCTCTAGAGGAGCCGGTTGGCACCTGAGACCGACCCTGGCCTGGTGCCCGCAAGCCCTGTGTGGCCAGGCCCCTGGGACCTCTCCCCTCATCTCTTTCCCACCGCCTCCCTGTTCCCTCAGCACGCCAGCCCAGGCCAGCCCAGGCCTGCCCCAGGCCAGCCCATGCTGTGCCCTCTACCTGGAATGCCCTTCCCTGGACACAGCTCACTCCGTCAGCTCCCTGCCTCTCCGTGTCACCTTCTCAGGGAGCGCCTCCATGACCACAGCACCCCCCTCCCCAACACACACTCCTCCTCTGCTCCCCCTCCTCTGAAACCCGCATCACCTGTGCCCCCACCCCAGCTCTCAAGTGCCAGGCATCGAGCACCGTCATGGGAGGAGCAGAGGGCATGTGTGGGTGCCCAGAGCTCAGGGAACAGGAGTCTCTAACTGTCACGGGCTCTGTGCGGGAGCGAGCACTGTGCAGAGAGGTACAGATGCTTGGCGGCCCTCTAGGCCCGGCCTGCACGTCCCCCCTGCGCTCACCGCTCTGCAGCGCGGCTCCAGCTGGCTCCGCACGAAGGGCAAAAAGACGCAGAGCTGCCACCCACGCACGAACCTCCTCAGAGCCGAGCTGCTGTCGGACCAGAACTTCTGCAAGACACACACCGCGGCCGGTCCAGCGGCCACTGGGGCCCCAGGCCCACGTCCGTGCCCTCCCCGCGGGCCTCACCTTCAGCACGCGCCCCCGGACTTTCTCCAGCTGCTGGGCAGCCTGGTGGCAGTCCAGGGCGCTGGTCAGACACTGGTCGGCCAGCTGCAGGAAGGTGGCCACGGCGTCGGCCATGAGCTGTGGAGGGAGGAGCTGGGATGACTCTCGGGTAACCCACTCTCTGGCCTCATCAGCCTCGTTCCTGCCCAACGACACCTTCTCAGCATCCAGTCCATCCCTGCCACCCTACCAGCCACTTCCCTCAGCCTCCTCCTTGTCTCAAGAAACAACACCTCTTGCCCCGCCAGTGTGGCTCAGTGGTTGAGCATCGACCTATGAACCAGGAGGTCACGGTTCAACTCCCAGTCAGGGCACATGCCTGGGCTCCATCCCCAATAGGGGACATGCAGGAGGCATCAGTCAATGATTCTCTCATCACTGATTTTTCTATCTCTCTCTCCCTCTCCTGTCTTCTCTCTAAAGTCAATAAAAACAATTTAAAAAAAAATGTATTTTATTGATTTTTCACAAAGAGGAAGGGAGAGAGATAGAGAGTTAGAAACATCGTTGAGAGAGAGACATCGATCAGCTGCCTCTTGCACGCCCCCTTCCTGGGATGTGCCCGCAACCAAGATACATGCCCTTGACCGGAATCGAACCCGGGACCCTTCAGTCGGCAGGCTGACGCTCTATCCACTGAGCCAAACCGGTTTTGGAAAAAAACAATTTTTTTTTAAGTAGCACCTCCTCTCAGGAGCCAGGGAGCCAGGGACCACCCAATAGGTGGGTCCTATGTCCAAACTGGTAGAAAGCAGCCTCCCCACTGGAGAATGGTGCCGGGGTGCCCAGCCTGGGGAGCAGAGAGCCGGCTGGAGTTTGGCCTCCAGGCTGAGTGCTCCTGGGAAGTGTGCAACTTGAACAACTGCGGGGCACCACGCGGCCTTCTCACTCCCTGTCTCCTTCACTTCCCGTTCCATTGGCAGGTCCCATGCCCTTGGCCTTCAAAACACCCCTGCTTCTCTCACCAATAGCATTCAACTAGGGGAGGCCTCTGCCACGCCTGTCCCCTCCCACCCCCCCCACACACACAGGCAGCCCATGCTTCCCAAGGCAGGCGTGGCTTCTTCACTTTCTATGTGCTCACACCTTCCCTGCCGTGGATCCCCATTGCCCTGGGGACAGAGCCCAGCCTCTTGGCCCCATACAGAGGGCCCTGACCCGTCTGACCACCCACCTCCCTGGCATGTCTCCCACCCTTCTGCCCTCCCTTGAAACCTACAACCCAGTGTCTCCAAATTGTTCAATTTCCCCAAAGGCAGACAAGCTTTCTCACTTCCCAGCACTTACTGATCCCTCTGCCCAGGACATGCCCCACCTCCATTTCTCCCACTGCTGCCCCAGCTTGGAAGTCCCCCCTGGAAGTCCTCCCAACCCCGAGACTGATCAAGCACGTCCTTGAGGCTCGCATAGCACCGTGTGCATCCACACCACAGCCCTGCCCATCACGTGCTCACTGCCTGGTCATGGCTCATGTCTACACGACCCTGGGAGCCCAGAGAGCGAGGCCAGGTCTGTCTCGGTCATCCCGCTCTCCCCAGCACACGGACGCCTGCTCAGTGAAGACAGTTGCCTTTGCCTCACCTGTTGTGCGAGATCCTGGGCCCCAAACACCAGACTGCGTGCTCCCAGGAAGCCAAACGGTACCACCAGCTGCTCCAGGCCGCCCCGGCTCCGCTCAGCCTCACGGAAGCAAGTCTGCATCAGCTCTGGATCCCACGGCATCTCACCAAATGAGTAAACCTGCGCTCCAACGGCAGTCAGGTGAGAAACGCCATCCGCCGATGGAAAGGCAGGACCAAGAGACTCAGAGCCGATGCATCAAAGGGAAAGCACAAGTGGGAACACATCTTACCTTGGCTATCACCACAAAAATGCACAAGGAAAGTTAACAGTGAAGCCCTAGCTGGTTTGGCTCAGTGGATAGAGCGTCGGCCTGGGGACTGAAGGGTCTCCCAGGTTTGATTCCAGTCAAGGGCACATGCCTGGGTTGTGGGCTCAGTCCCCAGTAGGGAGTGTGCAAGAGCAGCCGATCCATGATTCTCTCTCATCATTGATGTTTCTCTCTCTCTCTCCCTCTCACTTCCGCTCTGAAATCAATTAAAAAAAAAGTATATATTTTTAAAAAGTAACAGTGAGGTATGGACATAAAATGGTAAAGCCTGGAGAAATGGTGATACGCGGTGCTGGCAGGACTGAGGGGAAATGGGCACACTCGGTCCTAGTGGGACCTTTGCCCACCATCTGATGGTCTCTCGGGACTGAGCCTCAGGCCCGCATAAGTGGAGTAACCCAACACCTCAGGGAGCTCAAGGAAAGTCTGGGGAGATAGACTGGAGACAATCAACCACAAAGGTGTGTAAATGCCCTCATGACGAGGGGAGCTCAGGCAGCTGCAGATGCAGAGAGGGGCCAGGGACAGTTCCTCACGGAGGTGATTAGGAAGCGGATGTGTAATGAGTTAAAGGTGCATAATAGGTGCTCATTTAACACCAAAAGAACTGAGCTGACCTGCGTGGAGCAGAATTCTCTGGGGTCAGGATGGGCTCTGGCTAAACAGTGGCATGGCAGGAGGGAGAGTTTGTGGGGAAGGTGACTCCAAACTGATATTATTAAGTGCTACTCTCAACATCTTACTCCTTTCCCTACATTTTAAACAGTGTCCTGATAACCATAGCATCGTTGTCCATTATAAGTAAAACAAACAAACAGCCTAGAAAAAAAGTGTTTTGAGGTTTTTAAGAAGAAAAGGTGTCAAACAAGAAAGATGCAAGGTTCCTGCAGCTCTTCTATCCTCCGGAGCTCACCTCTCTCCGCAGCCGCGCGCCGGAGGGATTGGCACGCAGGTGGCGGCACAGGCGGTCCATGCCCTGGGCTAGGAGGTTCTGCACCGCCGCCAGCGCCGCTTCCACGATGCTGAGCAGAGTCTGCGAGACCCGGGGCAGCTGCGCGTCCACCTTCCCTCGGAGGCAGGACTCCAGCGGGCCCTGGACTGCGGCTGAGGGTGGAAAGCACGGCCTGGGTCTCCTTCGCCAGGGGCTCCGCTAGTGGGGTCGTGGGAGACCCTAGGCTCCGCAAGGTGGGGTGGGCGGGACGCAGACGCTGAGCACCCGCTCCGCCCATTTTACTGGGGTTTCGGAGGCTTCGGATGCGGCGGGGCGGCTCAGAAGCGCACGCTGGGAAGGCAGAGTCCGGATGCCATCCCGGTCCGCTTTCTAACGGAGCCGAGTGGGGGCGCCCCCCGCCGTCTGACTGAACAACCCGGTCAGACGCGCCTCCACCAGGGCCTCCCGTCCTCTCTAGAGCCGCCTCTCCCGCTCCATCACTGGCCAGACCCCTTTCCACGGCCCTGCCCCCTCCTAGGTCCAGCCACGCCCAGGGCCACGCCCACTCTCCCGCCTGTCACGCCACGCCCCTTTGTTCTCCAGCCCCGCCCCTGCCGCGTCTGCAGTTCCCGGACTTTCGGCCCCGCCCCTTACGCCCACCTCGGTCCCCTTCTTTCTCTCAGGTTCCCGCCCCGCCTCGCCAGGCTCCGCCCCACTCCCAAGCTCCGCCCCGGCCCCGCCCTCTAGGCCCCGCCCCTTCCTCCATGTCCCGCCCGGTCCGCCAGGCCCCGCCCCGCTAGGCCCCAGGCTCACTCCGCAGCTTCCCCGCCACGCGCCCCCGCAGCCTCATCATCTGGTCCACGTCAGGGCGGATGGTCCGCTCCAGGGCCGCGAGCAGCTCGTCTTTCTCCGGCTGGAAGGCGCGGAGCCCGGCAGAGGCCCCGGCCAGGACAGCGGCGTGAACCGCATCCAGGAGCTGCCGGGAGGGGCGGACAGAGACAGACACGCGGAGAGAGGGAGCATGTAGGCGACAGTCAGAGAGGCGAGGCTGGGTGCCCGGCTCCCACTCCCTCCGCCGGGTCCCTCCACCCCGTGTCCCGCGGCACCTCAGCGCCCTCGCGCGCACCTCGGTCCAGGCCCAGGCCCTGGCTCGGCCGGCCCCGCGCAGGCCCGGCTTGGTCTGGGCCCGCAGCGCCGGCAGCAGGTCCCGCATCAGCACCGCGGTCAGCACCTGCGGGAGAGGCGGGGCCGTGGGCTCGGCTGAGGGCCGAGAGGGCTCCAGGGTCCGGATGGGGCACTGACCTCCGCGTCCGAGCCCAGCGTCAGGTCGTCGTGGCCGAAGTGGCCTCGGTGCTGCCGGTAAAGCCGCACGGCCTCCAGGAAGGCGTGGGCGGCGGGGGCCTGGCTTCGCTGTAGGACTGGGAGTGGGGAGGCTCCTCAGTGCCCGCGCACCCCTCCTCTGCTCCCCAAGAGGAAGGAAGCCCTCGTCCTCCCTGCCCGGTCCCCGACATCCAGGTCTCACCCACCTCCGCAGGGAAAACGCTCCCCAACACCTCGCCAGCCCCCCAGGACCCCCTACACAGTGTAGAAAAGGCACCCCCTGTGGGCAGCCACGGCCAGGCTGCCCTGGGGCTGGTCTGCCTCCCCGTTTAGGTGCATTGGTTCAGCCAGCAGCCTGCCCCTGTGTGTGTTGGTCCTGTTCCCTTTATCTCACCTTTTTTTGGGGCCCCAGCTTCCACATCCCCTCCTCATAGAAGCCCTCCCTGACCCCCCAGGGCAAGCTCCTTCAAGGCAGTGTCCCCGTCACAGCCCTCCCCTGTCTGTCTCCCCCACAACCCATTGTATAGATAAGAAAACTGAGGCCGGGAGCGGGTCCCACAGCCAGCAGGGGCAGAACCGTCCACCCCCAGGCCCGGGGCCCCATCTCTGCCTGACCTTCCCGGGGGCCCACCTGTGCCGCGGAGCCGGATGCCACCCTGCAGGGCCAGCCTCCACGCGCGCTGCGCCTCCGCTGTGGCCGCGGAGAGGCAGAGGTGCCTTCGGAAGGGGTGCTGCAGGAACAGGGGGAAGTTCACGGGCGTTTCCAGGAGGGGGTCGGGCTCCTCCTGCGTGTGGTCTCCTGAAAGCAGACAGAGGAGGCCACAGCTGCATCCATTCCTTTGCTCTACGATTGCTCCTTCACCAGGAGAGGGACCATGAAATACTTAGGGACCCTCGCGTGGGCAGCTGCTCAGTATGCGTAACCCGTGCAGTGTCGGTATTTCCCCAGGCAGGATGTGCCCAGGCCTGAGCAATGCATCCCAGCACTGTCTCCCAGCCCCTGCACCCTCCTCAGCGCAGTGGCCTGGGCAGCCACCAACAACTATCCTGGTTGGCATGTGAACTGAGCCCTGCTTGCAGGGGGCTCTGGAGCCAGCCATGCCCAGGTTCAAACTTGACCAAACCATTTTCCCTGCATAGGGCACAGTTTTTCATCTCTGTGATCCTGTAAAATGGGTTCGAACCTGTTATCAAGGACCTAGAATGGTTGGGAGGACACAATGGGTGGATTTAACTCTGTTTAATCTATTTGAGGCCTTCTAAATTCCTCAGTGTTTTGTTTTTTTAATATATTTTATTGATTTTTTTACAGAGAGGAAGGGAGAGGGATAGAGTCAGAAACATCAGTGAGAGGGAAACACCCATCAACTGCCTCCTGCACACCTCCTACTGGGGATGTGCCCACAACCAAGGCACATGTCCTTGACTGGAATTGAACCTGTGACCCTTGAGTCTGCAGGCTGACGCTCTATCCATTGAGCCAAACCCATTAGGGTGAAAATCCTCAGTGTTTTGTTCTGATCTCAGGAGCAGTATCCACAGACTGCAGTAAAATACACTCATTTTGCTGGGAGAGAGGTTGGTCACTGGGCAGAAGCAAAGGGTGAACCAAAGGGGCATGTGGGTGGATCCCAATGTTTGCAACGTCCCCAACATTTCTGTAGACTGTCCTTGTTGCTGCATTTGCATTGTTTGGTGGCAAGATAGCTCCTCAGTGAAGTCAATGATGCAATTCTAGCTCTGAGCCCTACTAATCGTACGACAGGCCTCGGCCTCAGTGCATGCATCCGTGGAATGAGGTAACTAGCGATGGGGCTGCCTGCTGGGCAAGTTCAATGAGATAACGCAAGCCCTAACTGGTTTGGCTCAGTGGATAGAGCAACGGCCTGTGGACTGAAAGGTCCCAGGTTTGATTCCGGTCCAGGGCATATACCTTAGTTGCAGGCACATCCCCAGTAGAAGGTGTGCAGGAGGCAGCTGATTGATGTTTCTAACTCTCTATTCCTCTCTCTCAAAATCAATAAAATATATATTTTAAAAAGAGATAACACAAGCCAAGCCCTCATCAGATGCATCCAGTCCTGGGAGGAAGGCAGAGAGGAAGGTAAGAAGGGAGAGGGTGAGAAAGAGAGGACAGTGGAGGGAGCAGAGGAGCAGGGGCAATGGGAGGAGAAAGGAAGGGAGGGGAAGAGGGAGGAAATTAGAGAAAAAGAGAGAGAGAAAGGTGGGGAGGAAGAGGAGAGAGAATGGAAGAAGGGGTGAGGAAGGGAGAAGCTCCTGGAAACACTAGATTGAACAATACACTCAGCACCCAGTTTGTGGGACACACCCCCCCCCCCCACCAGTGCCCATCTCCCCACAGATGTTTGTTTTGGCTGCTTTGGTTCCGGTCCGGGGCCCAGCCTCTCTCGCTGGTGAGAAGGGGTGTTTCTCTCTGTGGAGCTGGGCTGCTTATCCAACAACGAGGCTGTCCCCGAGACACATTTCGTTGTCGCACTTGGGGTGGGGCTGCTGCTGGCATCTAGTGGGTGGAGACCAGGGTTCTGTTCGACACTCTGCATTGCTCAGGGCAGCTCCACTGACGGGACAAAAGCACTGAAGGAGAGACGCCTGCTTTTGGGGTCCCCAGGAGCCTTACCTGAAGAGTCTGGGCAGAGAGTGTCCAACAGGCGGAGATATTCCCGCTGGGAAGTCAGGACTGTGTACCCTGTCAGCGCTGTGGAGCCCAGAGGACGGCCCCCATTTTCAAATTCCTACGAAAAGCATCCAAAGAACCGCTGTGGGACAGGTCTAAATGGGGGCCCGCACGTATCCGTGTAGGATCCGGGGAAGGTTTGGGGTTAGCTGGGAAAAGCCTCCTCCTCCCTCTCTGCCTCCACCTCGTTCCCCCTCCTCCACAGAAGATCTGCTGCCAGGGCCCATGTGTGCGGGGTTGTCTCATTGAGTCCGACATCATCACCCATCTCACAAGGTGGAAATGGCATCCCAGGGCATCAGGGGACCTGGAGGAGTTCCCCGGACTCTGCTGGCGACCGTGAGTAAGCCCCCACCCCTGTCCCGGGCCTCAGTCCAGCCACCTGCACAACAGGAGATGGTGGCCCAGCCCAGGCCAGGGACTCGGGGCCCTCGATTCGGGCCAGATGATGGAAGAAAGGAGAAGGGCTAAGCTGGTAGCCGGACCCTACACCCACTCTGGGGAGGGCGGATGGAGAACCTGGAGGCCGAAGGGACAAGAGCCACTCACTCACCTCCCTGTGGCTGAACCACTCCAGGTGGCCATTCCCACGCAGGACACAGAAGGTCGGCTGCCACTGGGGAGGGTGGCCCCGCAGCTGGGTCAGGGGTCCTCGGTGCTCACGGACTCGGGGAAGCTTCTGTGGAGGAGGGGCTCTCAGATGCCAGGGGCACTGGCCAGGGTTCCGGTGTCCAGACCGTCGGGACAGCTCCCACAGGTGCCACGAAGCACAGGGCCACTCCTGTTCCTGACCAGGCACTCAGAGCAAGCACTTACTTGTGGCCCTTCCAAATAAGAACTGTATACCCGGAGTGGCCAGATTATCATGATCTCTAAACGCATAATAATCTGGCCAATCAGTGTATATCTTATTTAATAAAAGGCTCCTATGCAAATTTCCCCCTGGACCAGGAGTTCAACCAGCAGGCAGGCTGGCCAACTGTCCACGTCCCCTCCCCCTGGCCAGGCTGGCCGGACCCCACCCATGCATGAATCCATGCACCGGGCCTTTAATAAACATATATACTTAGTGGCCAGATTATTATGCGTTCAGAGATCACAATAATCTGGCCACTCAGTGTATCTTCCACTGCCCTGAGACAGGCATTCTTACCATCGCCACTTCATCTGGGGGAGGACCCTCCCTCACGTGAGCCTCTGAGGAGACCCCAGCCCTGGCCAATACCTCGATCTAAGTCAGTGAGAGACCCTGAAAGGAAGGGCTCAGAGAAGCTGCCTCTAGATTCCGGGCTCACAGCCACGGTGAGATAAGTGTGTGTTGCTTTAAGCTACTGGTTGGCAGTATATTGTCACACAGCCTTAACCAAGCAGTGCCGGTGGAGTTGGGGGTCACGGGGCAGGGGCAGTGTAACTGTGTGAGAAAAGGCGGGACCTCTGCCCTCAGGGGGACACTTTCTCCGTCCTCTGTTTCACTTCCTTTGTCACTCTCCCTAGACCTGACACCTGCATTGTGTGTTTTGTGTCATCCCTGTGTCCCAGGGCAGTGTCTGGTGCGTGGTTCATGCTCAATAAATATTCAATTAATCAATTAACTGCAATTGTGATGTTTTGATTCTTTGCTGGGGTGGTGGGATCTCTGTGTGTTTTTAATGATTCTCCATACCTTTTCCCAGGTCTAAAAATTTCCATAAAATATTGTTAAAATGCTATTATAGAAATCCTGTATAATAAAAGGCTAATATAGAAATTGACTGAACAGTGGAATGATTGGTCGCTATGATGCCTACTGACCACCAGGGGGCAGATGCTCAACAAGGAGCTGCTTCCTGGTAATCAGTGCACTCCCACAGGGGGAGCACGGCTCAGCCAGAAGCCAAGCTCTTGGCTGGCAGAGCACAACGGCAGTGGCAGGAGCCGTCAGTCGGACATCCCCCTGAGGGCTCCCAGATTGCAAGAGGGTGCAGGCCTAGCTAATGGACCTCCCCGCCCCCCGAGGGCACGAATTTCATGCACCGGGCCTCTAGTGATATAAAAAATACAAACATATAAAATAAATACTGCTCTAGCCAGTTTGGCTCAGCAGATAGAGCGTTGGCCTGCAGACCAAAGGGTCCTGGGTTCAATTCCAGTCAAGGCCATGTACCTTGGCTGCAGGCTCCTTCTTGGCCCAGGGTCTAGTCAGGGCATGCACAAGAGGCAACCAATTAATGTGTTTCTCTCACATTGATGTTTCTCTCTGTCTTTCCCTCTCTCTTCCACTCTCTAAAAATCAATGGAGCCGAAACTGGTTTGGCTCAGTGGATAAAGTATTGGCCTGCGAACTGAGAGGTCCCAGGTTCCATTCTGGTCAAGGGCATGTACCTTGGTTGTGGGCACATCCCCAGTAGGGGGTGTGCAGGAGGCAGCTGATCGATGTTCCTCTCTCATCGATGTTTCTAGCTCTCTATCCCTCTCCCTTCTTCTCTGTAAAAAATCAATAAAATAGCCGGGACCGGTTTGGCTCAATGGATAGAGCGTCGGCTTGGGGACTGAAAGGTCCCGGGTTCGATTCCGGTCAAGGGCATGTACCTTGGTTGCGGGCATATCCCCAGTAGGGGGTGTGCAAGAGGCAGCTGATCGATGACTCTCTCTCATCGATGTTTCTAACTCTCTATCTCTCTCCCTTCCTCTCTGTACAAAATCAATAAAAAAATATATTTTAAAAAAAATCAATAAAATATATTTTTTTTAAAATAAAAATCAATGGAAAATATCCTTGGGTGAGGATTAAAATAATAAGTAAATAAATATTATATAAAATGTTCAAACTGAAGCCAGGGGAAGCCCCTCCACGCTGCTCAAAACCTAATGTCAGCTGTGCTCTGGCCGCGTGACTGAAACCAGCAGGTGGTGTGGGGTGCAGGTGGGAGTGACACTCAGGCCCCATGATGCCCCAAGAGGGACAGGGAGAGCTCTGGTTGGGAGGGTGCTCTGTGTCCACAGCATCAGGGAGCCCCCACCCCCGGGCAGGCACCACTGGGGGAAGAGGCACCTGAGTGAGGTGGGCAAACTCAGTGCCCTCTGGGGGCAGGGGACCCAAAGTCAGGAAGGGATACGAGCTCCGAGTTCAAACGATGCCTCTGCCTCTTGCCGGTGGAATGACCTCAGGCAGATCACTTTGCCTTTCTGTGCCTTGGTTTCCTTGCTGGTCAGAGACCCATCTCTGAGGCTGGTAAGGATTGAGCATGTTGTGTCGGGCACACGGAAGGCCTGGGTGCCATTGCCAGCTCTGCAGACGTGTGGAGCTGGGACCAGACAGCTCCAGGCTCCTTTGCTCCATCCACATATTATTCCTGCGCCCCTCCTAAATGCAGGTACCATGTGGGTGTGAGGGGTGGGTGTGAGGGAAAGAGGAGACTAGGCCAGGCTTCTCTCTTGCAGAGCAGACCCATGGAGGTGACCTGGGGCTTTGCTGGGATGGGGGTCTCAGGGGAGGTGCCTGACTGAGGTGGGGGCAATGGCAATTCAGGAAGGCTTCCTGGAAGAGGTGGCAACTGAAATCCAAGGAGGAATGGAAAGTGCATGAGACAGAGGCCACCTCACATGCAAAGACTTGGGCATCCAGTGGTTGTGCTCTGTCCTTGCGTGTGGCACTCAGGGCAAGCCTTTTCCCACTCCAGGGCTTTTGCCCTAGCTGTGCCTTCTGCCTACAATGCCCCTCCCATTCTGGGCTCCAGATCTGGCTTCTTCTCATCCTTTATATCTCAGCTCAAAGGGTCCCCCTGCACCTCGACTCCCCACCCCTAACTGTGCCCTTCCGCTTGGTTTCCTAGCACCTATCCGAAGTTACCCTGCGTCATGATATGTTAATTTCCCCCAATCAGACTGTGAGCTCCAGAGAACAGAACGGGGTATGTCTCAGTCTCTGCTGTGTCCCCAGCGTCCAGCCCAGGACATGCTAGTGAATATGCTAGTGAATGTTTATAGCCACTCTAGGTTGTGGCACCAGCAAGGACAAAGATGCGAGAAGCCCTTCTCCCCCTCCCACTCCCCCCCCCCCCGCTGTGCTGAGCCAATGGCCTCCTGTTTGCTCAGCAGCCCTCCACCCTCACGTGTGGCACCCACTTTGCTGGGCAGCAGTTGGCATCCGGCCAGCTCCTGGGGCACCAGCTCCCGGGAAATCTGCTGCAGGACCGAGGCTGCCAGCTGCACACGGTACTGAGGCAGGAAGTTCCTTAGCAGCGCCTCCACCTGGTCTGCAGGGACAAGGGAACAGGGAGGCGGTTGAATCCGGCCACCGACGGAGGGGGGGGGGAGGGGGGGGGAAGGCAAGACAGGATGGAAGAGGCTGGTGGGCTTCTACCGTCACCCCAAACCCCGAAGTTACCCCACGAGACATACTCCAAGTTCCTTTCCCCCTTAACCATCACTGTCCGTTTCCATCCTTGGGGGACGGGAGGGAGTAAGGCACTCCAGCTTAATTTCTTTTTCATATTTAAAAATATGCATTGTACAATATGCAAACATTTGTTGTATGTTTATTAGTCACTGCCGGTAATGGAGTATTTTTAACATTTTTTTTTTCACTAAACTACAATCAGACATTAATTGTTCTTTTTTTTTTTTGCCTTTTTTTTCTTTATTGATTAAGATATTATATATGTGTCGTTGTTCCCCCATTACTCCCCACCTCCCATTCATGCTCCACCCACCTGTTGTCTGTGTTCATAGATTAGGCTTCTATGCATGCATACAAGTCCTTTGGTTGATCTCTCCCCGTTACCCCTACTGTCTGACTCCAGCTTAATTTATAACGGATGCACAACGAACTTGAACAAAGCATAGAATTTAATGGTCTTTCCCACACGTTCACACCCAGACACCACGATCAGGATAATGAACAGTTCCCTTGCACCTGAAAGTTTTCTCACGCCCCTTACCTAGAGAATTTTTTCCAAATCTTTTCAAAGCCTCTCCCCAGAACAGAGGAACTTGCTGGAGTGGTGGAAGTGTTCCGTATCCTGATCTAAGAGGTGGCCACCCAGGTGTTAACGCTCTTCAAGCTGTTGCCCCAAAATGCACTCGCTTGACTGTATGGAAAACATCCAGTCCATCTTTGCTGCCTGGAATGTGGACCCAATGGCTGGAGCTTCGGCAGCCTTTGTGTGCCGTGAGGTGGCCTCAGACACAGAAGCCGTGCATGGTAGAACCATGAGATGGAAGAAGCTGGGTTATCTAACTTTCATCTGCCTGCCTGCCTGCCTGCCACAGTACCCCTCTGTAGGAGAGAGTAATGAGTCTTTGCCTTAAGCAGCTATAGAAAATGCCTGACATTGTAGAATAGCTTATGGGATCCATATATAACGGCGAGTTGGCCTTTTCTGCTCTAGATCATGAATCCATCACATCCCCAGTGCCCTGCACACAGTAAGCACTCAACCACGTGTGTGGAGGATGAAGGGCACTGACCCTTCTTTGTCTCAAATCGGAACTGTGACTCAGCCCCCGGGGCCACAGAGAGGGGTCTGTTGATCCCTGCCCGCCTGGAAGATGATCCCCCAAGATCCGGCGGGGCCCAGGGCAGCTCCCACCTGGCCCGTGCCCCACACCCCAAACCCATGCCCTGAGTCAGGTTGCCAGATTTACCCCCCAAATGTACATGACACCAGTTAAATTTGAATTTCAGGTAAATAAGGAATTATTATTATTTTTTAGCATAACTATGCCCTTATGCAAAATTTGGGGCATACTTATACTAAAAAAAAAAAAAAGTTTATTTATTGCTTATCTGGAATTCACATTAATAGATATCCTACATGTCTGATCCCTCCTCTCCATCCCCACCCCTCTCCAGCCTCACTCACCCCTCAGGTGCTGCTGCTGCCGCTTGTCCAGGGGGCTTGAAGGCCGCCCGCCCATCCTGCCGCTGTGTCCCGGATCCCCTAGAGGGAAGCAGACACGCCTCTCCCCGCCTGGCTCCCCAGGTTCCTCTGGGAGCAGGGCAGCCTGGAGGATCCCGGGTGCTATGGCGACCAGTGTCTGGGGTCAAAAGCCAGAGCTCGGCCCTCCCATTGTGTGTGTTGGGGGTGAGGCTGCCCGCCCCCTGCCCCACCCCATCCTGCACCTGCGTCCTCCCAACTCCCCTGGGGCCAGGGCCCCCGGAGCTGCTGGTTTCTGTAGGGGCTGCCCCAGCAGCCCGAGAGTGGGCACGGGGGTGGGAGACAAAATTCTGCCGGCTTCGGGGGAGGGATGCAGGGCAGCTATCTGGCAGGACCAGGCAGCCAGCTGTTGGTGTGAGAGGGAAGGAAGGGAGGGTGAGCAGGGATGGGGTGTCTATCCCCATCTGATGCCCACCCTCTGGTGCCCATCCCTCCCTGTACTTGCCCCATGCTGGGCAATGCTGAGAGGATTCAGCCCTGGCCCAGGCCCTAGAATCCTGAGGCAGGGAAGAGAGCCGGCCCACACCCCCAGTCCCTGGAGTCAGTGAGGGAGCAAGCGGTGGGGTCCCAGGTGTGGAGACCTAAGGGGGTTACTGCTTACTTCCTGACCTCGATCCCTAGCCCCACCAAGCAATCACCTCATCTCCATTTAATTCCTTTAAAAAAAAAAAAAAAAATATATATATATATATATATATATATATATATATATATATATATTATTGATTTTTTACAGAGAGAAAGGGAGAGGGATAGAGAGCTAGAAACATCAATGAGAGAGAATCATCGATCAGCTGCCTTTTGCACACCCCCTACTGGGGATGTGCCCGCAACCAAGGTACATGCCCTTGACCTGAATCGAACCTGGGACCCTTCAGTCCGCAGGCCGATGCTCTATCCACTGAGCCAAACCAGTTTAGGCTCCATTTAATTCTTTGACTATTAAAGGTGCCCTCACTCTCAGGCCCCAGCCCCATCTCAGCACACTCCTAATTCCATGGTCTCAGGCAGGTGCCTCCCACCAGGCCTTGCAGAGCCCCAGTCTCATCTCTCCGTGGCCCCCTCCAGCCCACGCAGTTCCCTGCAGCTGCCCCATGGACCGTCACAGGCACGCTAACAACACGGTCAGGAGGGAGAGGAATGAATGAATGGTGAGAGGAACAGCAATCAGCTGCTTCCCACATGTGCCCTGACCTGGGATTGTGCCCTGACTGGAAATCAGAATGAATGATGAGAGGAAGGGAGAAACATGAGGCAGGAGGAAGAGGACACGCAGGGGCAGGGAGTTGAGGCTGCAGCAGGACCCGAAGGAAGAGTGAAAGCTGGAGGGCAGAGAATCGGCAGGGGCACAGCACAGGCAAAGGCCCTGAGGTGGGACGGGAAAGGGAGAGTGAAGGGCAGATGTTATAAGGGGAGGGTGGGGGTTGCAGGGGCCACTCGGGGGCTTATGGGCCAATAGGAAGGGAGGGCTTCACTCAAGGTGGAAGGGAGCCACAGGCAGGCCCGATGCAGGGCAGCTGCTATCACGGGGAGGGGCACAGGAGAGGTGCTATGCCTCTGGAAGGCCCCCCCACCCCCCACAGTGGGGTCCCCATGTCTTTCTCAGCATTTCCCTCTGCTCTAGCGACCCCTGCCCCGCACTCTGCTCCAGGGCTGGCGGCCACCTGAGCTTGCTCAAGCCCACGGCTGGGCAACCTTCCTTGCGGCTGCCTCCTCTGCTTTCTCAACCCGTTTCCTTCCGATCAGGCCCCGGCCCACTTCCTCACTCTCACATCTGAGAGACTGGCCCCAGGACGTTAAAGGAAACTTCTCTTTCTGTGGTTTCGGCTTGGAGGTTTCAATTCCCATGTCCCCTTCAGGTGCGTCTGCGGGATGCCCCCAGGCACCGTGCCTCCCGCTCTGCTGAAGCCCCAGGAGCCAGGGAAGCTGGCGGGCCGAGCAGACGGAAACACTGCGGTCCTGGCAGTGGAGACGAAAGAGACACTTGGACACGTTCAGGCTCTGAGAGGCCTGCAGCAGGTCTGGGTGGAGGTTAAGACCGGCCTGGCCCTGGCTGATGTGGCTCAGTTGGCTGAGCGTTGTCCCATGCACCAAAAGGTCTTCGGTTAGGGCACGTGTGGGAAGCAGCCGATTGCTGTTCCTCTCACATTGATGTTTCTCTCCCCTTTTTTCTCTCTCTCTCCCTCTTCCTCTCTCTAAAATCAATAAAATCACATAAATAAGTACCAACACTTGCTCTGCGTGTGCAGTGGGAACTCTGCCAGAGTGTGTAGTGGGTTGAATTTTGTACCCCTGGGAAGAAACAGCCACAGGTCACTATAAAGAAAACAAAAAATAACCAATGGTGATGATATGAAGAAACTGGAACCCTCGTGCACTGTTTGTGGGAATGCAAAATGCTGTGGAAATAGTATGGAGGCTTCTCCACAAATTAAAAACAGCCTCTAGCCAGTTTGGCCTATGGACTGAAGGGTCCCAAGTTTGATTCCGGACAAAAGCACATGCCCAGGTTGCAGGCTCAAACCCCAGTAGGGGGCATGCAGGAGGCAGCCAATCAATGATTCTCTTTCATCATTGATGTTTCTCTCTCTCCCTCTCCCTTCCTCTCTGGAATCACTGAAAAAAAATATTTTTAAAAAATGAGAAACAGAATTACCATCTGACCTAGCATTTCTACTTTGGGGTATATCCCCAAAAGAATTGAAATTCGGGTCTCAGATAGTTTTCATCAAGGTTTATAGCAATATTATTCTCAAGAGCAAAACCAAGCATCTATAGAGATGGAGAAGCAAAATGTGGCCATCCACATAGTAGATTATTATTCAGCCATAAAAAGGAAGGAAATTGTAACACTTGTGACAACATAGCTTAATCTGAGGACATTATGTTGAGCAAAAGAAGCAGACAACAAAGGCCAAACACTACATGATCCCATTTACACTATTTACAATAGTCCAATCCAGAGACAGGAGTAGAGAGGAGGGCTAGTGGAGGGGAGAAGGAGTTACTGATTAATAGGGACAGAGCTTCAATTTGGGAAGATGGCAAGTTTTGGAGATAGGTGGTGGGGATGGTTGTACAACAGTGTGAATGTACCATTTCTGGAGACCTAGAAATGGTTAAGATGGTGAACTTTACATTATGTGTATTTTAACACACACATACACATAGGCACACATTCACACACAGGCATACATATACACACACAGACACATACAGGCACATATACACACATATATTCACACAGACACACATATACACACAGGCACACACATATATATACACAGAGATATACACACATACACACGGGCACACATACATATACATGGCATGTCCATGTATAACCCCGGGAATCTCAGAATGTAACCTCATTTGGAAAGGGTCTTTGCAGATATAATTAGCTAAGGATCTTGAGAGGAGTTCATCTTGGATTTAGGGATGTCAGTGTCCCGAATAGGACACAGGGAGATGCTCACATAAGCCATGTGAAGGCCAGAGGCAGACTGGAGTGACGCTGTCACAAGCCAAGGTTGCTGGCAGCCCCAGAAGTCAGAGGAGGAGCCTGGGAAGACTCTTCCCTCAGAGCCTCCGGAAGAAACCACCCGTCACCCCGACTCCACACCATACGACTGAGAGTAACTTCTCTGATTCTTTGCTCCGAGGCCCCCAGAAACCAAGCGAGGACACCCATCCCTGCCCTCCACCTGCTGGGATCCGTCTTCTAGTCAGCCTGGAAGCCCCTTGTCCCATTGCCCACCAAGGACCATGAGATAGTGGAGACTCAGAGCAAATTCTCCTTTTATTATAATTTTTAAACGTTTATTGATTTCAGAGAGAAGAAGGGAGAGAAACAGAAACATCAATCAGAGAGAAACATCGATCAGCTGCCTCCTGCACACCCCCTACTGAGAATCAAGCCCGCAACCCAGGCATATGCCCCAATCAGGAATCGAACCGGCGACCTCCTGCTGCATATGGCGATGCTCAACGGGCTCAACCACTGAGCTACACCGGCTGAGCCAAAGCTCCTTGTAAGATCTGGGCAGAGCCAGTGGCCAGGCCCTGTCAGCACCATGTGGTTTTTCGAAGTGAAGCCTAGAACACCGCAGTGGAGGGGCCCAGCCCCAGGAAGATCCCGGCTCCCCCAAGCCGCAAGTGGTCCGGACGGCGGTGTCCCCGGGGACCAGCTACAACGTGGAATGCTTCTCGAAGGGCACGGTCAGGAGTCGGGCTGCGGCCTCGTCCAGGAACCAGCAGAGCTTCCCGGTGTGGGGCTGCACGAGGGCGGCAGGGAGCGGGCTGTCCTCCTTGTCCTCCAAAATGCGCTGTGAAGAGGGTTTGCTTGTGAGGCCCGGCTGCATCCCCTCCGAGCTCCCAGGCCCCGCGGACTACCCCTCCTGCTCTCAGGATGTGATGGCAGCCTCCCGGCTGACCCAGCTCAAAACAGCCAGCAGGGACAGGCCTTCCCTTCTAGCGCCCGTGACTGTCCAGCATGGCGCTGGCACGCCTTTCCTGCAAAGACCGGAGTCACTATTCTGGCTCACGTTGACATAGGGGCATCTGTGTTCCACAAACCGTTACTGGTGAACATGACACCTGAAATCTGTTGAATTTTCACATGTCTGGGAATATTCTCTTTTGATCCACCCGCGACCCTCCCCCCCCCCCCCCCCCCCCCCCGCACCTCCCACCCTCTATCCCCGGCTCCCAACTTAAGAAGGTAAAAGGTAAAAACCCTTCATGGCTGGTGGGACCTGGCACATGGGCTGTAGTGTGTCAACCTGCTAATGGGACCGCATGGTGAACGGACATTATAAACACTGCTTTTTGCCAGCTGGGCCTGCCCCGAGAACTCTGTGCTTATAAATCACTGGCTTCTGATCACGACCCTGTGAAATCACCTCTGTTCCCAGCCCATTTTACAGCCTGGGAGCTAAGGCTCCAAGAGGCCTCTCTCAGGGGGTCCATGGGGAGGGGCCCCCTGATGACCCACCTTACAGATGGGAAAGTTGAGGCTGTGGGGGAGGACCACCTGAAGCCATGGGGGCACTGGCAGGGACATGGGTCTGCCGCACTCGTTAGAATCTGCACCCCAAACTGCAACATCAGCCACCCCTGAGCCCAACAGTTTTGGGGAATTATTATTTATTTATTTATATTTCAAAATATTTCCACTTTCTCCTACAGTTTTGGCATTCTTTTTTTTTCTTTTTTAAACAATTCTTGCCCTAGCTAGTTTGGCTTTGTGGATAGAGCATCGGCCTGCAGAATGAAGGGTCCCAGGTTCAATTCCAATCAAAGACACATGCCCAGGTTGCAGGCTGGATCCCCAGTAGGGGGTGTGCAGGGAGCAGCCAATCAATGATTCTCTCTCATCATCAATGTTTCTATTTCTCTTCCTCTCTCCCTTCCTCTCTGAAATCAATTAAAAAATATATATATATGTCTTTATTGTTGAAAGTATTACATATGTCGCCTTCCCCCCCACCCACACATAGTTGTTGGTTTTTTCAATGATGGCAGTTAAAATATTTTAAAATTTATTTTATTTTTTTAAATATATTTTTATTGATTTCAGAGAAGAAAGGAGGGGGGGAGAGAGAGAGAGAGAACTATCAATGATAAGAAAGAATCATTGATGGGCTGCCTTCTGCATGCCCCCCACTGGAATCAAGCAACCTGAACGTGTGCTCTGACCAGAAATCAAACCGTGACCTCCTGATTCATAGGTCGACACTAACTGCTGAGCCACACCAAGCCAGCTTAGTTTATTTTTAATATCTTAGTTTACATTCTCCTAACTATACCTTCTTTCTTATTCCTACTTTTTTTTTTTTTTTTTTTTTTACTTATTCCTATCTATGATTTTTTTTTCCTTCTTGGTTAGCTTTGCCAGTGATTTGTCTCTCTTTTGGACCTCTTTATCATTAAATTTTAAAAAAATAATGCCCTGCCAGTGTGGCTTAGTGGTTGAGCATCAACCTAAAATCAGGAAGTCACGGTTTGACTCCTGGTCAGAGCACATGCCCAGGTTTCGGGCTTGATCCCCATTGGGGAGCATTCAAGAGGTAGCTGATCAATGATTCTCTCTCATCACTGATTTTTCTATCTCTCTTTCTCCCTTCCTCTCTGCAATCAATAAAAATATATATTTTTTTTAAATTAACCAATTCATTAGAGGCCATGCAGGAGGCAGCTCATGATTTTAATTTCATATATCCCTTCTGCTGACTTTAGATTTGCATGTTTCTAATTCAAGATTAAAGAGCTTGGTTTGTTTATCCAATAGTTTTCTATTTAACGAGAGGCCCGATGCACAAAAATCCCTGCAACAGTAGGCCTTCCTTCCCCCGCTGCCAGGACCGGCTTCCCCGTGACACCGGGGACCTGAGCTGGCTTCCCTCCGGCTGCCTGCAGGCTCCCGGGACCCAGGCTGCTTTTCTCCTCCAGCCGCCCACAGACACCCTGGACCTGGGCTGGCTTCGTCAGGAAGGACATCCGGAATAATGTCCTTTTATTATAGATATTTTTTAAATGTATCTTAATATTATGAATTTACCTCTCCGTGTAGCTTTTGTCGCATCTCACCAATCTCGTTTTGTAATTCCTCACTCCTAACCGGCCTGTAATGGCAGTTCCCGTCCCCCTTCACCCCAAGAAGGACTGAAGTCATTGGGGTCTGGTGCTTCCAGCACAACAGCACCCGGCTCTCTCCTGTCCCCAGGCTCACAGGCCCATAGGCCTCCTGGGAACGGGCCCAGCTTTACCTTCAGAACAGCTGCCTTGCCTTCCCCAGTCGCCACAAAGATGACAGTTCGGGCCGCGTTCAGGACAGGAAGTGTGAGGGTCACACGCTGTGGGGGTGGCTTTGGGGAGTCACTGATAGGAGCCACAATCTTCTCCCGTTCCTGGGGTGGAGGGGTGTGTGTGTGTGGGGCAGGTAGAGAAGAGAACAATGTCACTTCAGCTTCTCAAGCACTCACCCACATCAAGCATAATTCATCCATCATTCCACCCACCCACCCAATCCCGCGGTACTGGATGTAAGGCCCCATTATAAGATGGGTAAACCGAGGCTCAGGAGGATTAAGCCCAGTGGGCATGCCTATTGGCAGAGGCTGACTCAAACCCTGCTGTAGGCGACTCCTGGCCCCCTGTGGAAGCCCCAGACAGCAGAGGCCAGAGCTCAGGTGTGCGTGGGGCCTGTGTGGGTGCACTCACCTGCAGAAGGGGATGGTCTGGGAAGAGCGAGCAGGTATGGCCATCGGGGCCCACCCCCAGGATCAGCAGGTCAAAAACTGGAATGGAGTCCCCTTGAAAGGCCTGGCCAGGGGAAGGAGACAGTCCACAGAGGTTGTGAGGAAAAGGGAAGAATACAGAGACAATTGTCAGAAAAAAATCACAGTGGTGCCTGGCCAGTGTGGCTCAGCAGCTGAGCATCAACCCAGGAACCAAGAGGTCGCTGGTCGGATTCCTAGTCAGAGCACACGCCCGGGATGCAGGCTCCACCCTCAGGAGAGGCCGTGCAGAAGGCAGCTCATCAATGATGTTCCTCTCTTATCAATATTTCTATCTCCCTATCCCTCTCCCTTCCTCTCTCTCTAAAAATCAATAAAACCATATTTTAAAAAAAATTTTTTTAAAGAATCACAAATAGCTTAATATATGAGTGATGCTCAGCCTCACCTGCATAAAAGGGACTCTCATCTATAAGGTTCAACATTCACCTGCCCGACTGGCTAAGAAGCTGGGACACAACCACAGGCCGGTTACTAGGTGTCAGAGGTGAGGGCACCCCTGGGGACCCTAAGGCAGGGGCGTGACCTATTACAGAGGGAATTCTCAAAGGGTCCCCCAGAGCAGGGCTGACGGACCCCAGGGGAGTTTCTGCCAATGACCATCAGAGTGCTACCTGCAAAACGGCTCTGTTGCCCTGGGATTAGCCATGGAGTGGACAAGGTCTCCCTGTGGCCACTCGGAGGGCTCACCTGTCTCAGCTTCTTGGCGTAGTCCTCTGCGGCGTCCTCCACAGGAAGCTGGGGGTTAATGGTGATCACCTGGCTATCAGGAATGGGCAGCTTGGAGAGCAGGTGGGTCTGTGACATACGGAGGGACAGTGTCACCAACAGTAATGAATGGCTCTCAGCATCATGGGTTTGCATTGTGCCCACATGGGTCACCGGGCCTGTGTGAGTCAGGATCCTAGTGGATTCCAGCGTCAATGCACCAGGGGTCTTTCAAGTCCATTAAGACTGGGGGTTGGCACTAGCCGATTTGGCTCAGTGGATAGAGGGACGATCTGTGGACTGAAGGGTCCCAGATTTGATTCTGGTCAAGGAAACATGCCTAGGTTTCCGGCTTCATCCCCTGTAGAGGGAGTACAGGAAGCAGCTGATCAATGATTCTCTCTCAACACTGATGTTTCCCTCTCTCTCTCTTTCTCCCTTCCTCTCTGAAATCAATAATAATAATAATAATAATAATAATAATATAATAAAGGACTGGGAGTTGCCTTAGCCGGTTTGGCTCAGTGGATAGAGCGATGGCCTGTGGACTGAAGGGTCCAAGTTTCGATTCCGGTCAAGGGCACATGCTCAGGTTGTGGGCTTGATCCCCAGTAGGGGACGTGCAGGAGACAGCTAATCAATGATTCTCCATCATCATTGATGTTCCTCTCTCTTTCCTTCTCCCTTCCTCTCTGAAATCAATAGAAATATTTTTAAATGACAAAACAATAGGGTTTCACCCTGGCCAGTGCTCCCAATGGTTAGAGCACCGACCTGTGCACCTAAGGGTTGCAGTTTTGATTCCCTGTCAAGGGCACTGCCTGGGTTTCAGATCACAGGTTTGGTCACCAGTTAGGGCACATGGAGGAGGCAACCAATTAGTGTCTCTCTCTCTCTCATCAATGTTTCTCTCTCTCCTCACCCCCTCCCTCCCTTCCACTCTCTCTTAGAAAACAATGGGAAAAAATATCATCAGATGAGGATTCATTAAAAACACAAAAAATCATCAGCTCAAGCTTCTATGCAAAAAGAATACAACACCCAGGACCTCAGTAACCCGAGGCTCCTCTTCTGGTCACGCCCACCGTCCACGCCTCCCTGGAGAGTTTCCTCCTTCAGAGCAGGAGGAGTGGACACGACGCAGCGGAGGAACCCAGGCAAACCAGGGCTCCTCCCAGCCTTAGTCTCCCTGCTTGTAAAACGCCAGAGTCCCCCCCCCCCCCCCAAGATAACGCAACAGGCTGCGTGGAGACCATGGAGACCTCGTCCAGGTTGTAGGTAATGAAACTGGTGCCCAGGCTCCACGCCAGGACCCCCTGCCTGGCTCCTCCCGTCACTCTGCACCTGAACTTCCCTAGGTCCCTGCATGGGCCCCCGTGCGTCCCTGCGGGCTCTGCCCAGGCCGCGCCCCAGCCCGGCTGCCTGTAAGCACGCGGAGGGGCCTCGAAGCCCCACCGGCCCTGGGGTGGCGGCGCGGCGCAGCCCACCACTGAGCCCACCACTCGCAGCGCCCACCGGAGGGGCAGCCGGGCGCGGCTGGCCCTCGGCGGCCCCCGTAGCCTCACCCGGTAGAGGCCGTACGTGCTCTCGGCGTGCTCGAAGGGCACCAGGCGCTCGTCGCAGAAGCCCAGCGTCCAGTGCGCGAGGCCGGCGGGCCCCGCGGGGGCGATGGCGGCGGGCAGCTCGCGGGCCAGCATGGAGACCAGGCTGCCGCCGGACAGGCCGAGCGCGAAGCGCGCCCGGGCGCCCGCCACGCAGCTCGCGGCCCGCTGGGCCACCAACTGCGCCAGCGACGCGCCGAGCTCCTGCGCGCTCGAGAAGACCGAGATGCAGCCGGGGGCCGGCGCGGCCATCGCGGCGGCGGGAGGCGGAAGCGCTCCGGGCGGCGGCCAGTGCGCCTGCGCGCCGGGCGGCCGGACGCCCCGGGATTAGAACCTCGGGCGGCGGGCAGCCTCTGGCACATGCGCAGCCCCGCAAGTGAAGCCCTGGCGGGGCAGGGCGGTTGGATGCTCCTTATTTTTTGCAAGTTGGCGTGGACACAAGTTCTGTCCTGGGTTGGGGCTGGCGGAACCGGCTCCAGCCTCATAGGGTCAGGCAGGGCGAGGCCAGAAAGGGGAGCACAGAGCTCGTGAACTCCAACAGGAGGACGTGGGGTGGGGTGGGGTGGAGGAAGGGATATGAGATTTCCTGGAGGACGCATTTTGGTGGACTTTGGAACCTTCTTTTTTCTCGTTGCTAGTATTGTTTATAATAAAAGCGTGACGCTAATTGGAGAAGCTGGTGCCGGAAAGCCTACTCTTGCACGAATTTCTGCATCGGGTCTCTAAAATACAAGCTCTATGTATGCCTAGCACAAAGTGGGAACTGAAAACCTGTATGTTCACTTCCTTCTGCACGTTCTCTCGGGGAACCTCTGTCTCTCGGAGAACTCAGACGCTCCATCCTGGCTCTTGCCCGGAGGAGCCCCCCAGACCAGCTCAAATAGGATACAGCTTCTCATTTGGCACAACATACAGAGCTGCCAAGCCTCCGAGGAATCTTAAATGCATCTTGCCAAGTGAAAAAAGCCAGTCTGAAAAGGTAAAACTATGGAAACAGAAAAAGAAAAAATCTGTGGTTGTTTGGAGCGGGGGTGGAAGGAATGAAGAAATGGAGCACAGAGAATGTTTAGAGGGAGGAACATTTATGATGCTGTAATTGTGGATGTATGTCATTATGTGCGAGTTGAAATAGAACTTACAACCGTGAACCCTAAACTGCAGGCTTGAGTAAGTGATGAATCAATATGGGCTCATCAATGTAACAAATATAGCACTAATGCAAAATGTTGATAACGGTGAAAGGATAGGTAGGAATTTTGTGCTTTCCGCTCATTTTTCTGTAAACTGAGAACTGCTCTCATGAAGTCTCTGACTTAAAAGCAAACACACACAACATAGAGCCTGATCCTGTCATCAGGAATTTTTTTTATCATCACCTGGGAAGGAATTTGTTTTTGCAGCTGGAGTCACAGGCTTTGGGAACTCTCCAAGGTCCCCGCAGGACCACTTTCCCGAAAGAGATGGTGGCAATGACCTCATCCCCCTCTCCATGCTCGTTTCCTTCTCTGTACAGGGGGACCAGGATGACACATGGAGTGGGGTGGTCATGACCTCCAGAGGGATGTTATCCAGAATACCCTTGCTTAGAAGTATGCCAAGAGTGCTCCATGCTCACTGGCAGCAGACCCTTCTCCTACCCTTACTGGCATCTCAGCTCTATCTTACCTCCCTCTCCCTGCAGACTGGGCATCCAAAGACCCACCCCGCACATTGATGGTTCATCTAGCCTTGACCCAGCCAAGGCCCTCTCCATCCCCCGATACACCCCAGGTTCACCCACTCAGTACCCGCTCCCAGCCAATGTTCTATTGTCATAAACATTTCGTCCTCTGTCCTCTGAAGTGGAGACAAGGTGAGACAGACACCAATACTGGAGGGGGAAACAGCAGAAGGTGTCCTGGGTTAATATTCCAGCTCAGTCACCCAAAGCTACAAGCTGAGCAGCTCTCATCCAGAGCTACAGCCACACCTGCTGGCCCCGCACACAGGGGAGCATCCCCAAGCCGTGCCAAGACACACACTCTGGGCCATTTTGTGCAGCTGCTGAAACCAACAGGCAGGTTGGCCGACTCTCCCCTAAGACCACTGAGGTCAGAGCAGGGTTTTGTGAGGCCCAGAGGTTAAGGGAAGCGGTGAGAATGCTAACCTGAGTCCCCCTCTTCCCAGAGGCCGTGCTGGTGTAACAGCAGGCAACAGAGGGCAACAAGCAAAGGCCCCGTTTGCCTGGCTTGTCTCTGGTGGAGCATGTTCCCCAGGGAGGACCTGTCTTCTGAGACTCAGAAAGGGTTCTGTGCCACATGAGACAGTGAACAACTGGGCTCACATCAGGCAACGGATATTCCACAGCTTTATTTCTTAAACTCAACTCTAAAACAAAACCTTGGTGCTTGGAAAGGCCCATGAAAAACAATGCAGGGTCACTCGCTACTGGCCCTACTGCTTTGTTCTAGGTGCTGGCCGGTGCTGTTGGAGGGACTGACAGACCGACAGTCAGAGTGGCCAGCCCCAACAGGAGTACGGGATGAGATGAGCCACCAAGGCAGGCTGATTATCTAGAATGCCACCACCAGGGTCCAGGCGGTCATTGGCAAGGCCAGGAGGGACATTCAGTCACTGGAACCTGAGGCCATTTCGGATGCCACCAACGGCAGACCTCCCCCACCCCATTGCTGCCACTCCCATGGGCCCCTCAGCAGCTACACTGGATGGGGACACCCAAGAAGCCCCTTCCAGGGTGAGCACCTGAGTGGTGGGCCAAGCAGCCACCCAGAACAGTCTTCAGGGTCCCTCCGGCAGGCGCTCTGTGCAGACGCCTGAACAGGGACATCCAGGTAGAGGCACCATCCAAATGGTCACAGTCAGTTCTGGCAGCGTCCAGGGCATCAGGAGAGGCAGGGGAGACCCACCAGGGACGGGAAGTGCAAAAGGCAACTGGTGTGGCCTCGGAGTGATTTCCAGCTGAGCCGGGGGTCCCTGCTGATGCCCCTGCACGGGGTGCGGAAAGCAGGCCAGTACGGCTCCTCCATTTGGCAGGCCGGGCAGAGGGCCTGCCAGGATTTCGCACGGGGCTGCACATCCTGGAACCGAGCGGCCGCAGGAAGACTGGCCTGGGTGGGGCTCCTTAAGGCACAGCTGAGGGGAAGTGGGAAGGCCCACTCTGGATCTGAGGCTCAGCAGGGATGACAGATGGAGGCCCCGAGCAAGCGCCAGGTCCCAGGAAATGCTGCTCTGCTCTTCACAGGAGAACAGAGGGGAAAGGGGAGATGGAGGAAAAAGAGGGGAAGGGTGAGGACGGATGGGGACAGCAGGGAGGTCATGGCCAGGAAGCAGAGAGGAGAAAGAGATGCACGGACACAGCAGAAGACAGGCAGAGCGGGGCAAGGAGACAGCTGAGAGGACCAGGCAGGGGAGAATGAGGCCAGGGGAGACTCGGGCTCCTCCTGGGGTCCAGTTTCTCCGCCCCAGGACAGGGCAGGCTGCCGGGTTCCAGCCTGCCTGGCTTGAGGGGGCCGACCGGAAGTCTGGCCAGCAAAGGAGGAGCTTCAAAGGGAGAAGGAACCCGAGCAGATTTGGGTGTAGACAGCCTGGTCCAGGGGCAGGTAGTGTCCCTGCTTCAGGTCCAGGAAGAAGAGCTGGTCTGAGGTCTGGGATGGGTCAAAGCTCTCGTGCTGCAGCCGTGTCTTCTGGATCTTGAAGGTGCCTGTGGGGAGCGGGTGGAGATGGGGGCAAGGCAGGTGGCTCTCAGGAGCCCCCGACTCACCATCCTGTCCCGTGACTGCAGGCTTTTGCATATGCCCTCCCCTCAGCCAGGAACATTCTTCCCCATTTTGCCTGCCCAATTTCTCCTTGTCCTTCTGGCCCGAGCTTCATGTCCTCTCCTGCAAAGAGAGGCCTCTCTGACCGCCCTCATCACAGCCTGAGAATGTATGCTCCCTGCTGGTTACCTGTCCCTTCCCCCCTTTCCCATCATGAGACCCAGGGAGACAGGCGTCTGTCACACAATAGGTCAGGGGACAGCAACTTAAAGCCCAAGGACCAAATTCAATCCACCGCCTGTCCAGTAAATAAAGTTTTATTGGCACAAAGCCATGCCCATTCACTTACACACTGTCTAGGCTGCTTTTGTACTACAAGGCAGACCAGAGTTGTTGGGGCAGAGAGTGTGTGGCCCAAAAACTGAAAATATTTACTCTCCAGGGTCTAAGAAAAAGTTTTCACTCCTGCAGAGGATGATTAAAGAAGGTTTTGTAAAAGGTAAGGATTGGGGTTAGTATTAAAAGCAAGGGAGAATACTACGTGCTCTAGAGTTGGGAAGGTCTGTTTGTTGTCTTTTAAATATGTATTTTTTATTTCAGAATTGAATTGAACCATGACCTCCTGATTCACAGGCCGAAGCTCAACCACCAAGCTGCACAGGCCAGGCAAGTCTGTGTGTTTTTTTTAAAAAACAAATATTCAAAATCACAAACCATAAGGTTTTTTAAAAGGTTAAGTATGGCCCCAGCTCAGAGGTGAGCGCATCGGCCTGTGCACTGAAGGGCTGTGGATTTGATTCCCGGTCAAGGGTACACGTACCTGGGTTACAAGTTCAATCCCAGGCCCCAGTCTGGGCCTGTGCAGGAGACAACCAATCAATGTGTCTCTCTCACATTGATGTTTCTCTCTCTCCCTCCCTCCCTCCATTCCTCTCTCTCTAAAAAAATCAATGGAAAAAAATATCCCCAGGTGAGGAGTAACAAAATAAAACAAAACCAGCCCTAACCGTTTTGACTCAGTGGATAGAGCGTTGGTCTGCGGACTGAAAGGTCCCAGGTTCAAATCCAGTCAAGGGCATGTACCTTGGTTGCGGGCACATCCCCAGTAGGGGGTGTGCAAGAGGCAGCTGATTGATGATTCTCTCTCATCGATGTTTCTAACTCTCTATCCCTCTCCCTTCCTCTCTGTAAAAAAATCAATAAAATATATTTTAAAAAAATAAAACAAAACCAAAAAGTTGTAAGTACATGAAAAAACTAAGTTTCTTTTCAACAAAGGCTATAGTGGACTAAGTTCACAGACTCCCAAATAGGAGAAGAGGCTTACAATGTCTGAAATTGTTAAGGAGTTAATATCCAGACCATTTTGAAGAATTCCCACAAATCAAAAAGAAAAAGAGTGAGGCAATACAAAGATGGTGAAATATCCTAGAAAGATCAGAGGCTTTGATCTGCTCACACTTCCATAGAAAATTGCAGAAAATGAAGAGATGCTGAAAACGGAAGGATGTCTAGTGGGTTGGGAAAGAGGAATGAGAGCAAATATGTGAGTAAAACAGAGAAGGGTCCTGCACACGCCCATAGTGCCAGGAGGCTGAGAACCATTATGGCAGACTGGTGCCTGAACCAGGACAGATACGGGGTGGGGGAGGGGTGCGGCGAACCTGTGGTGTCCATCTGAGGCAGGAGGCGCAGGAAGATGGGCCGGGCATAGGGTGCCAGCACCTTCTGCAGCTCCTGGTACAGCTCGTTGGGGCTCAGCTGGCCGTGGGGGTCTGCGATGGCCGCCATGCCTGCTTTGCCTTCTACTCCTAAAACAGAGGCTCAGTTGAGCACCATCCCCCACCCACCACGGGACCAGACCCTGTCCCACAGCAGCCCCTGGCCTCTGATCTCCGGTTCCTTCCGCCTGGGCGAACACTGGCCAAAGCAGGACAGTTTATTGAGCTCCTGCTACCTTCCTGCAATCCTGAGGCAGAGTTGCTTTCATGATCCCATTTTCTGGTTGAGGAAACTGAGGCTCAAATCACATAAGAAGGGTGACTCCCATTCCAATGGCACCCGCCCAGGCTGTTGCGTGCAGATGTCCAGGATGTGTACTGCCCAAGGGCACCTGTACCTTCAGGCTCCTCCTGGCTGGGCTCCCATGGGGCTGCCGTACCCTAGGACCACCCCCACAGCCCCAGCTTGCCTGGCACGGCCACCCCATACACGGCCACATCCGTCTGGCCCAGCAGGCGGCTCAGCACGCCCTCCACCTCGGTGGTGGAGACGTTCTCCCCGCGCCAGCGGAAGGTGTCCCCGCTTCGGTCCCGGAAGTACATGTAGCCCAGCTCATCCATCACCAGCACGTCGCCTGGCGGAGGGGGAGGGGGAGGTGAGATGACAGCCACCGCCCCGCCCCGCAGCCAGCCCGGGGGTGCACACCTGAGAGGTAGGCGCTGTCGCCCTTGCGGAAGACGCTGTGGGCGATCTTCTTGCTGGTGGCGCTCTCGCTGATGTAGCCGTCGAAGCGACGCAGTGGGTCCCGCTGGTTGATCTGGCCCACGAGGAGCCCGGGTTCCCCTGGGGAGGAGGCCATGCTCAGATTGCACCAGGAGGGCGGGGGCGGGGGGCAGGGGAGCGGGGGGCGGAGGCCGCGGGCCGCGCACCTGTCCGGCAGGGGATGCAGAGGCCCTGGGCGTCCCGCAGGAGTTCCATGGTGTCCTCGTTGACCTTCACCAGCCGGATGGGGTACACGTAGGGCAGGATGCGGCTGTTGAAGCCACAGGAGCCCACCTGGAATGGGGAGAACGGAGTCGGAAGGAGCCCCAGGGTGGCAGTGTCCTCCCCATAACACCTTCCCTTTCCTGCCCCAGGGCCTGGAGTAAGACTCTGTGTCACCCAGCTCTGTGACCCCGGTGACCTGAAAAAAGAGGGGATTAAGTAGTTTTCCCTGGGACTCCTCCTCCCACCTTCTCCGTCTCCCTTACGGTTGCAGACCTGCTGGCTTGCTGCCACTTCCTGGTTCACAAAACCCTCTGCATGGCTGGCGTGACCCTGGAGCCATGGGGGTGTGTGTGGGAGGAGGGGGGCTGGCAGAGCTGCTGCTCCCTGCCCACAGCACGCCAGCCGCCAGGCTCAGTCTGTGAGGTGGAAACGGAGGCAGCTGCCTGGCGCACACAGCCACTCCGTGGACTTGAACTCAGGAGTGACAGTTCCGTGACTGTGTGTACTGGAAGAGGGCCCCACATTGGGGGACAGCCCAGAAGCCCTCTTAACCCGCCATGTGCTCCAGACCAGTGATCCCCAAACCCGGACCGGTGCCAGGCACCCCAGCTCACCTTCCCGTCCATGTTGGCGATGCTGCAGTTGCACTCGGTGGCCCCGTAGAACTCGCCGATCTGGCGCACCCCGAACCGCTCCGTGAACTCCTCCCAGATGGCGGGCCGCAGCCCGTTGCCCACGGCCAGGCGCACCCGGTGCTGCCGCTCCGCCTCCCGCACTGGCTGCTTCAGCAGGTACCGGCAGATCTCCCCGATGTACTGGACCACCTGGCAGAGAGGAGCACGCATGGAGCCTGACACCCAGGCCAGGCCCCCCCCCCCCCCTTCCTGGGCTAGGACAAAACGGCCCTAAGGCTAGTGACTGTGGGAAACAGCTCCGCCTCCACAGGGGCCTCCGCAGGCTTCTGCCTAAAGGATGCATTTGGTTCCCCTACGCCCTCCACCGTCTCCATCCCCATGCTGCTTCCTGGGGCACCTTACGTGCTGCACGCAGGCCACGAAGGTGAGCCTCAGCATCGACACCCTACAGCCCAACTCAGGTCAGAGCCCATGTGCTCTACTCTGTCCCCCAGAGCCTGGCCAGTGGAATCCAGTCAGCCCACAGCACCGCCCCTGGGGCGGCACCATTGTCAGGCAGGTACTCTATGCTGCCTCTGAATCACAGCAGCCCGGCCCCACCCAGCTGCCCTCCAAGTCACCTGCTCCCCAACGCCCTCTGCAGGGAGCACCTGGACAGGAGCTGGGAGCTGATCATCAACCTGGGACCCCCAGCTGGGACACCGCTGCGTCAGGGTAATTTTGTACAACCAACCAAGCCACACCTGCATAACCACTTTATTTATTTACTTTTTTGTTAATTCTCACCCGAGGGTATTTTTTTCCGTTGAGGAAGGGAGGGAGGGAGGAAGGAAGGAAAGGAAAGGAAACGGGGAAGGAGGGAAGCAGCATTATGAAAGAGACACATCGACTGGTTGTCTTCCCCATGCTCTCTGACCGGGCCCAGGGATGAAACCTGCAACCCAGGTATGTGCCCTTGACCGGGAATCAAACCCGCAACCCTTTAGTGTTCCGGCCAGTTGTTCTAACCACTGCAAGAACACCGGCCAGGGCCTAACCATTTTTAAATATATATATTTTTATTGATTTCAGAGAGGAAGGGAGAGGGAGAGAGAGATAGAAACATCAATGATGAGAATCATTGATTGGCTGCCTTCTGCTTGCCCCATACTGGCAAATCAAGCCCACAACCAGAATCAAACCTGGGACCACAGGCCCACACTCTATGCACTTACGTTATAGCCAAACCGGCTAGGGCAGTGGTGGGCAAACTCATTAGTCACCAGAGCCAAATATCAACAGTACAACGATTGAAATTTCTTTTGAGAGCCACATTTTTAAAACTTAAACTTTTTCTAACATCACTTCTTCAAAATAGACTCGCTCAGGCTGGGGAATTTTGTGGAAGAGCCACACTCAAGGGGCCAAACAGCCACATGTGGCTCGGGAGCCGCAGTTTGCTGACCATGGGGTTAGGGCATGGGCTTAACCATTTTCAAGTGAACAGTTCAGTGGCCTAAAGCACATTCACACAGTTCAACAACCATCTCACCATCCATCTCCAGAACTTTCTCATCTTCCCAAACTAAAAAACCCATCTCCATGAAACATTAACTCCTCACCCCCAGCCCCCACCGCTGGCACCCACTATCCTAACTGTATCTGTGAATCTGACTACTCTACAGACTTCATCAAGTGGAATCACACGGTATTTGCCCCTTTGTGCCTGGCTTAGTCACTTAGCACAATGTCCTCAGGGTTCACGCACGTTGCAGCACGCGTCAGAATTCCCGCCCCTTTATGGCTGAATAATATTCTGCTGTGTGGATGGACCACAGCTGCTTCTCCATTCATCTGTCCACGGACACTTGGGTTGCTTCCATGTTTCAGCTCTTGTGAATAATACTGCTATGAACATGAGTACACAGACATCTCTTTGACACTCTGCTTTTAAATCCTTTGTTTTAAAATCAGTTTTTCGGACACCATCAGCCACACAGTGTATCGTTCCACTTACAGGGAATTTCCAGAACAGGCAAATCCACAGAAACAGAAAGCAGATTTAGTGGTTGCCAGGGGCAGGGGGGTGGGGGGAAGTGATGCTCATGGGTACAGATTTTCCTTTCGGGGTGATGAAAATGTTCTGGAATTAGATAGCGGTGATGATTGCACAACATTGTGAAGGAACTAGACAATGAATTGTTCACTTTAAAGGCTACTTTTATGTTATGTGAATTTCATCTCTCAGAGGTTTTGCTGAAACATCTATGCAGGAAGCAGGATGCTGTCGGGCGGCTTCACATGCTGCAGGAGGAGGGACTGGGGTCTGGGGTCTGGGTGGGGAGGAGGAGGCAGTGACAGGTGCTCAGGAATCCCTTCTCCTTTCCTGTCCACATGTATATGCACCTGCAACTCTCAGTAAGTAAGGTACAAATCCAAACTGTCTGCATTTCCAGATTCAGATTAGCAATGTCCCCCAAGACCTCAGCCCAAGCAGTGACGAGTACAGTCATTGTCCCTGCAGGAGCCCCTGCCCAGCTCTGTGACCCGGGAGAGTGGCTGAACCTCGCTGGGCCTCTCCTGTCCACTGTGGGATAGCACCTGCCAACTTGCCAGTCCCATTCTCTCTCCCCCCCACTCCCTCTTCTTGGAGAAAGGGGTTAGCATCTGTATTTCCACCCCCATCACTCCCATGTGAAACCCCCTCCTGGAGGGGGCGGGGGAGGGAGGGATGTGTCTTAGCCCGCCTGCTGTCAGGATCAGAAAATGTCCTCCATCCCTGCCTCATGCACACCCCACCTGGAAATCCCCACGCCTGTGGCCTTAAATATTAAGTAGCCCAGGGTGGAGACTGAGCCCGCTGGTCTCATTTCCTCTCAGCCGCCTGCAGGGAAGACCGGGGCTGAGGGGCCCAGGGCACAGGGAAGTCGAGCCTCAGGGAGTTCACACAACTTGGGCCCGATTGCAGTTACAATGCAAGCCTTAGTTTCCCCGTATGCAATCCTCATATGCAAACGGGTGTATGTCTCTGCCCACTGCCCATGTGGGCAAAGGGTTAGCCCTGGGCAGGACAGAGCTCAAGAAACATGGTCACCCTCTGCCCCCCAGGAGCCCTGGCGGGGGCGGAGAGTGGGCGGGTCATGACGGAGGGCCAGGGAGGGGGGGGCTGACCGTGCAGTTGTGCTTGACGCAGTCGTCCCAGAAGCGGCTGGCGGAGAACTTCTTGCGGAGGACGACCGTCATCCCGTAGATGAGACACTGGCCCACACCCATGATGTTCCCTGCAGAGGGCCAGCTTGGTGAGGGGTCCCCAGCCCCCGCCCTGGCCCCCACCAGCACCCCCAGGTACCTGCGGAGTGATACAGGGGCAGGCAGTCGTAGAGCACGTCGGAGGGGCCCATGCTGTAGGCGTGGTGGCCAAAGGCGGCGATGCGGTAGTACCTGTGAGACAGGGGGGGGGGGGGGGGGGGCAGGGCTGGGACCTACGTCCTCCAGGCCTGGGAGGGAGGGGTGCTGGGAACCGCGGACATAGCGGCAAGCCCAGCCCCCAGGCTTGCAGGCTGGCTGGGGCACAGGCAGCAGAGCTGTCCGTGGTGCTGTGTGCCCTGGAGGACGTAAGGGCTGAGGGACGGAGGGGCTGACGGTGACACAGCCAGGGAGGGTGGGGACCCTGTCTGGGGAAGTGGCTCATTAGCTAAGGCCTGGCGAGGAGCTGAGGGGGCGAGCTGGGAGGAGCAGGCAGGCAGTGGGCTTGGCACCTGTAAGGCCCGGAGCCCAGAGGACCTGGCCGGACTGAGGAAATGTGAATGGCTGAGAAGACAGGGAGCGAGGGAAGGAAAGCATCAGAGATGTGGCAGGACCCCACAGCGTGAGTGGGGTTTTATTCTGAAGCCACGGCAGGTACAGGGCGCCCTGGCACAGGGGAGGTCTGAGTTAAGACTTTAAGCCTTCCGGTGGCCACCGGGGGGAGCAGAACCATCGGGGGCAGGAGCGGGGGTAGCAGAATGCTAACGAGGGGCTGGGGCAGGTCCGGATAGAGTGGGGGGAGGGGGGTGTGGAGAACGTGGACAGACTGAGGGACGGGCCGCTGATGGGCTGGATGTGGGGAAGAGGTGGAGCAGCGGGGAGCCCTGAGCACAGGAACAGGCAGTGGGTTCTGTGCGGCTGGGGAATCGGGCTGCAGAGACGACGTGGCGCCACCCTCCGGGCGGGGCGCTCCGGGCCCCTCACCTGCTGTGCACGACGATGGCGGCCTTGGGTAGCCCCGTGGTCCCCGACGTGTAGATGTAGAAGAGTCGATCTGCGGGAAGTGAGGGTGTTGGCGACCAGGTGCCGGGAAGGCGGGGGGAGGACAGAGTGGGCACTGGTGGGAAGAGGGGCCCCTCTGGGACTCACCATCCATGCCCTTCCCAGGGGACTGGGCCAGGGGGGCCGTGGATGCCTCCTTCAGCAGCGGGTCCAGCAGCCGGGTGTCCGGCCAGCTGCCCTCGGGGCCCAAGTCTCCGGAGCAGAACTTGAGCAGACTCTTCCCCAGCTGCCCGCTCACCTCAGCCACCTCTGCAGCCCAACACAGACGGGTCACGGTCAAGGGCGGGCGGCCCCTCCCCGGGCCGGGGCGACCGTCTCCTGGCCCCGCGCCCAGCCTCACCTGCGGCCAGCTCCCCTCCGAAGACGAGGGCCTTGGCGCCCGAGGTGCCCAGGCAGAAGGCCAGGGGCTCGCGCCGCAGGTTGACATTGAGCAGCGCGGCCTCCACCCCAGCCTTGGCCAGGCCCAGCCACAGGCCCACAAACTCCGGCCGGCCCTCCAGGAAGATGGCCACCACGTCCCCCGGCCCGAGGCCCAGCTGCTGGAAGACGTTGGCCACGGCGTTGGAGTAGGCGTCCAGCTGCGCGAAGGTCCAGCTCACGCCGCTGCCCGCGTCCACCAGGGCCAGCCGGTCGGGCTGCTGCCGCGCCACGGCCTCGAATATGCCCGGGATGGTGTGGTGCGCCCGCTGGTGCCGCCGCAGCTCCAGGCGCACTCTGATCAGCACGGAGAGGCCGCTGGGGGAGGGGCGGAGGGAACCGTTACTGGGTACCTGGCCAGGCCCCCGGGAGACCCCCCCAGACCCCCGTGCCACATCTGAGAGAGTGGAAGGAAAGGTCCCTGTACCCCCGAGATCAGGGAGGGTTCAGGAGGACCCTTTGGTTGGCGGGCTTTCCAGGGACTAAGGTCCACCTGCCGACCAGCCCAGAAAGCAGCGGGTTCCCGTGGGTGGCAGGCCCAGCAGTGCACATCAGTCCTCCTCCACCAGCTCTCTGTGACCCTGAGGGAGCCGAGGCCTCGTCCTGCCTTTGTTTCTCTCCTTCGGGATGTCCTGAGCACACCTCGCAGGACTCCTCAGGCTCCATCAGCCCCAACCGGACCCCGGGGCCCAGCCATGCGCTGGACGGCTGCTCCACCCCCAATCACTCAATGTCAAAAGGCCGGGGAGGGTGGCTCCACCCCCAATCACTCAATGTCAACAGGCCGGGAGGGTGGCTTCTCCCAGGCGGGCCTATTGTCAAGAGGGTGGGGGGGGGGGATACAACTCAATGAGCACTTGGAGCAGGTTCGTCTCGCTAAGCATCCTTGCCACCTCCCCCAGGGAGCCTTCCGGGGTCAGCCCTTGCACTGTGCCTGCTGCTCCCCATCACAACATACACCACACGGGGCCAAACGTGGTCAGAATCACGTAAGAGAGGAGAGTCATTCTGGGCAAAGAAGGGAAAATGCAGACAGCGGGGCAGGCTGCTGCCACTTGAGGTAGTAGGCTTAGTCTTTCACCCCAAAGCTTGTATGACTTAAATAAAAGTAAAAATCACAAATGAAAGTAGAAAGATGAGAGAGAGCACCAGGTGAGGAGAAGGATGGGGAATGTGTGCATCTGTGGGCATGAAGTACAGACGAGGTCTGCATAGATTCCCATAACCATATCTTGGAAAAGAGATACTGAGGAGGGCCAAAGCCGGTTTGGCTCAGTGGTAGAGCGTCAGTCTGCGGACTGAAGGGTCCCGGGTTCGATTCCGGTCAAGGGCATGTACGTTGGTTGCGGGCACATCCCCGGTGGGGGATGTGCAGGAGGCAGCTGGTCGATGTTTCTCTCTCATCAATGTTTCTAGCTCTCTCTCTCTCTCCCTTTCTCTCTGTTAAAAATCAATAAAATATGTTAAAAAAAAAAAAAAAAAAAAAAGAGATACTGAGGAGGGAACTGCAGGGCGGGGGCAGCAGAGAGGGCAACTTTCTCTGCACACCCCTCTAGAACATTCATGTGCTGTGTATTAACTATTATCAAAAACAAGAATGCAAAACATTAAAAGTTAGCTGTTTATACATCCATCTTCCTGGTCAGATCCCCAGCGCTCATCCATTCAACTAACAAATAGAATAGCTGCCAAAACCAGTTTGGCTCAGTGGACAGCGTGTAGGCCTGCGGACTGAAAGGTTTCCGGTTCGATTCCAGTCAAGGGCATGTACCTTGGTTGCGGGCACATCCCCAGTAGGGGGTGTGCAAGAGGCAGCTCATCGATGATTCTCTCTCATTGATGTTTCTAACTCTCTATTCCTCTCTTCCTCTCTGTAAAAAATCAATAATATATATATTTAAAAAAATAGAGTAGCTAAGATGAGCAGCCTTCGCATTGACTGAGGAACTACTGTGATGAGCACTCTGCCAACTGTATGGTCACCTTCCAAAGTTGGGTCCTAAGATCCCCCTTTGTCAGAGGAATGAGCTGAGAGCGCAGAGAGGTAAATTAACACGCCCGAGACCACAAGGTCACAGTCAGGGACAGAATGACCCCTGGCACGGTCCCTAAGCTCTTCCCCGGGCCGGCCCAGCGGCAGGCCACGTGCCCACGGTGCACACACCAGTTGCTCAATTCACGCTTCTTGAAAGACTGTTCTTACAGATGAAGGAATCGGGACGCAAAGGGCGATGAGCCAAGGGCCAGCAGGGCACAGAGCCAACGTCCTGTGCTGACTCTGGCCACCAAGCTGGTAAACATCGGCTTACAGAGCCACCAGGGCACCCACGCCGGCCGAGGGCCGTCGCAGCCACACTGAACGCCTCCGTGAGCCAGCTCTCCTCTGAGAGCCTCCCTGACAGAGCATCCGGAGAGCTCCATGAGGCGATCCCTGTGCAGCAGCCGTGGGGAGGGGTCACCAGCGAGGTGTGGAACCACAGAAGCGGCCCCTGCCTGGGCTGCCCGTCCACAGACAATACAGCCAGAAACAGGAACTGAGGCTGTGGCTGGCCGCACTCAGGGCAGGGTCCCGCCCCCTCAGCTGTCACCGCCCGTCCTGCGCTGGCCCCAGGCTCTCTGAAGCACACCCACAGGCAAGCAGTGGGCGCCAGCGCTCAGCTCCGGCCACATGCCTGGGCAGGAGCCCAAGCATCCCCACCCTGGGGACAAAGAGGCCACTCTCCACCTCTGAGTGCTTCCCAAGGCCTCTTCTCACCCCTCTGCTCCTGTGCCGCCTTCTGTCTCTCCCCGGGGCAAGAAGAGACCAATAAGGTTATGTGTGGTCAGATCTCACGCCACAATTACAAGAAGAACTGGGACAGGGTGCTTAAGTATTTCCTGAACCCAGGGTCTAAACACAGCTCCCACCACCATGGGCACAGCACAGCAGCTGAAAACACGGATGCTGAAGCCCTGCCCTTCCCGGGCTGTGTGTTCCTGGGCAAACGTATTCACCTCTCTGTGCCCTGGTTGACCAGCCTGTAAAATAGGTTTCATAAGCACTTCTTCTTACAGGGCTAAGAGAGGGCATTAGGACAAAGCCTGATGCAGGGAGTGGGCGATTCAAGCTGCATTAGTTACTGCAGCATAACAAATCACTCCCAAAACTAACACCGGAAGCAACAAACATCTATTATCTCCCAGTTCCGGTGCGTCAGGCATCGGGGAGTGGTTTCGCAGGGGAGTGGTCTGGCTTGGGGTCTCTGGTGAGGCTACAATCCAGGTGTCAGCTGGGGCTGAGCTCATCTCCAGGTTTTACTGGGAGAGAATCGGCTCCCAAGTTCATTTACGTGGGTCTCTCCACGGGCTGCCTCGCATGTGGCAGCCAGCTTCTCCCACGGGGGGCAACCCAAACGAGAGCACTCTGTATGGAAGCCACAGTCTTTTCGTTATCTAAGGGCAGAGGTACTATCCTGGCACTTCTGCTGTGTGCCATTCATTAGGAGTGAGTCACTAGGCCCAGCCCCTGGCACGGTCCCCAAGGAAGGGGATCTGATAAGAGCATGAAATCCAGGAGGTGGGGCCGCACACAAGGCTGCCTCCTACGGAAAAGTGTGTCAAGTCCAGTGTCAGGGACTCAGAGTCAGGGGACAGGGCCAGGCATGGATAAACCCAGTTCCATGGGGTAGAGCTAGGGCCGTGGCAAGCCCCAGGACGTAGGAAGGGCCTGCCCGCCATGCTCCTGGGTGTGTGACCCTCCGTGGAGGCCAGGGCCACAGGCCCCACCTGGGCTCCCCAGTCCCCAAGGGGCAAAGACACCTGTGAAGGCATCGAGTCCACAGACCCATAGCAGGCGCTCAACCCTCTCACAATATGGGGGCTGCTGAGATTGGCTCTGATGGAACGTCCAGCAATACCTGTTACACACGAAGACTCCAACAGCCTCTGAGCAAGATCCTCAGAGACCCAGACACCCGCACACGACACCAGCATCCTCTCCCCAGAGACCCCAGCCTCCGGAGACCACCAAACAGGCCGCAGAACACACAGCAGCCACTCCCAGACTCTGAACGACCCCCAAGTCCCGCACAGACCCCAGACTCTCCGAGAGCACCTGTACATGGTCACAGAGGAACCCGTAACTGGCTCAGAGGAGGCACACACCCTTCAAACATCTTAAATGTCCTCTGTAGATGCCTCAAGAAGCCCTTTCCATCCTTCTCCAAAAACCCTACATGGACCCAAAGTGTCCAGTCAGTCTGGACAGCCTCCAGAGACTACTGAGCCGCCCCTGTGAGCCCCTGGGAACCTACCAGAGTCCCCCAAGGGCCCTCAGAGGCCTCCCACAGTCACCAAGGCCCCGCCCCCCAAACACCCACAACCAGCCCCAGTTCTCCTACCAGCTGCCCACAGACCGTCCCCCGAGTTCCCCTCGAGCTCCCTGAGGTCTCCCACGTGACCTCAAGAACCCTGAAACCTACTCATGTCCCTCCAGAGACCCCCAAGCGGCCACCTGCAAGTCCCCTCATTTCCCGACCCGTCCCTCCGTCAGGCCCGGCCCACCCCGCCCCGCCCCCGCACGTTACCCCTCCCCACGGGCTCTGGGGGCCCCCGCGCCGCCCCAGCAGCCCCCTCCGTCTGCCCCCACCCAGGAGCAGGGGCAGGGTCGGGGCTGGGCCGGGCCGGGGCCGGGGCCGGGGCCGGGGCCGGGGCGAGGTTGCACTCACAACAGGTCCCGCCTCGCGGTCTTGCAGACGATGCGCAGGAAACGCCAGCCGCCGCCGCCCACGTACACGCCGAGCGCCGCCGCCGCGCTCCAGGTCCACGGCAGCCCGAGCAGCCACAGCAGCCCCAGCGACGCCACGGAGGCCGTGCCCGCGCCGGGAGCCCGCATCCTGCGGAGCGGAGAGCGCTGAGGCTGCGGCCGCGCAGGCCCCGCCCCCGGCCGCGCAGGCCCCGCCCCGGCTGCCCAGGCCGCGTCCCGACCGCCCAGGCCCCGCCCCCGGCCACGAAGGCCCCGCCCCCAGACCCCGGGACCGCCCCCACCTCCGGCCCCCAAGGCTGATCCAAGGGCCAGCAGGGCACAGAGACAAGGTCCTGTGCACAGAGCCGAGGCCAGCCTCCCCCCAGCCCCCACCCCACCCCGGGCCAGGGCCCCAGCAGGCCCCCGTGGGCACAGGCCTCCCGCTCCCTGCCCGGTCCACACCGTTCCGCCAGTTAGCTCACGCACAGGCCATGCCCCGCGCTCAGCTCTCCCACCTTCCTTCACTGCCAACCGCACCCCGTGCGGGGACCTCGCTGTGGAGCCCCAGACCCCAGCTCCGCGCTCAGGACGGAGCCCCAAAGCCTGGCTGCACCCTGCCCTTCCCCGTCCCTCGACCAGGCCGCGACCCCCCCGCCACGACCTAGGACTCGTCCCTACTTCGCGTCCCGAACCGAACCAGTCCGGCCCCAAGTCCCGGGTCTTCCCGAACGCCCCGCCTCCGCCACCCGCCACTCACTGGACCCCGCCCCACGCCAGGCCTCTAGCCCGACCCCCCGCCCAAGCCCCCGCCCATCCGGGACCGGACCCGCCCCCGGATCCGGACCCAGCCCGCATTCCAGCTACAGGTTCCATCCCCGGCCCCGGGCCCCGGGCCCCTGCTGCGGCCGTTCCCCCTCCAGGACCCTCTCCGCCCCACCGGCGCCCAGCCTCACCCAGAGCCCCTCTTCCTACCGGTCTGGCTGGGAGCTCCGGGGCCGCGGAGCCCGGGCCCGCCCCCTTCCGGAGGCCACGACCATAAAGAGGGCCCCCGGGCCAGTGGAGCGGCGGGTAACGAGACCCTGGGGCTAGAACAGCCGGCGAAGCCGCCGCCGTCTCCTTGACAACCAAACTCCATCCGCCCCCGCACTGCCCGCCGGGCCAGCACGTGCGTCCCGCGGCCGGGGGCGTGGCCTCCGGGCGTCCGAACCCCTCCCACCCCGCCCCCGCCCCCGCCCCTACCCACCCCGCCCCCCGTCATCCTGGATTCCTGCACCGCGGAGCTGGGAAGTCCCAGTTCAGGATCCGGGCCTGCCTGCACTGGACTCCTGCCGCAGCTTGTTCTAAATACAAGCCCCAGAGCCTCTTGGCTTTCAAACACACATTCCAGTGACCTTGAGAGTCCTCCACGCACAGCCCGGGGCCTTAGAAGTTGCTAAATCCAAACCTCACCTTAGCCTGAAAGATATATTACAAGGACCCAGCTAATCCCAAATCTGTACCCCAAAATCTTGTCAGTGAGGTCCCGTGTAACACCCCAGGAGCTCAGGGAGAACAAAACCCACACGCCAGGTCCCCACTCTCCCACAGGACTCCTTACTGGCACCCGAAGATCCTAATGCTCACCCAGAGGCCCCCAAACACCCTCCTGATCAGATGGGGGCGGAGGGGGGGCAGCGCCGGCCTGGCTGTCCAATACCCTGTTTCCTGGCTGACCTGGAGCTGCTCACTGAGCCTCAGTCCCGGCTGCTCCCTCGTGGGCTCCAGAAGCTCAGGCAGGAGGCAGGCAGAAACAACCGGTCCAAGACAGAAAGCCCCAAAGCTGGTCCCAGCTAGCGGACCTTCCGGAGGGCCTCTGTGTTTTGCAGACTCCTGGGTCCTGCTTCCCTGCACACTGTGCCCACGAGGGCCTCTGCCCTATCCCTCTCTCCAAGCTCCCCCTCCTCTGCCCGCCTGCCCACCCCACCCAGCTTGTTTTCTTCCCTGCTTGGCAGACCTTTTCAGTGCGATCCTTGGAAGAAGGCCTGGGCCTGTTTCCAGAGCCATTTGGAGGACAAGGCTTGGCAGGCGCTCACAGGCCCTCTTCCCGCCCCCCACCCCCACCCCCAACCAACCCCCCACGCTGTCATTGGTTCCTGCTGGCCTTCCAGGGTGGGTGGAATGGGTTCGAGGACAGGCCCAGAACAAGGACCAGTAACTCTAGCTGCACTCTTATCCTGCCAGGTAGCCCTGGTGATCACCCACATTTACAGATAAAAAAACCGAGCACTGGAACTGTGAGCTCTGAGTCGAGATTCATTCATTCACAAATGTGGGCAGAGAGCTCGTCCTTTCTCCTCCTTCACTTTCCTTCTCAACACATCTCTGTCCCTTGCTGCGACTTGCCCAGATTTCCCTCTTCTCCCCTGCCTCCCTCCCTCCCTCCCTCCTACTTCGGCCTCCTCCCCTTCTTCCTGTTTCTTTCTCCCTTTCCCCTTTCCCCCACTTCCTTTTGTGCTCTCCTTCACCTACTTCCTTTTCTTCCTCCACCCACTCCTCCTTCCCCTCCTCCCTCCTTCTATCCCTCCTCCTCTTCCTCCTCTCCTCCTCCCATTATCTCACCACAGCTCCTGGAGATTCTCTTAGGAGTCTTCAGCTTGAAACCAGGAAATCCAAACGACTCTGGAAGCTCAACTTTTCCTTAAGGTGGTGTCAGAACTCCGGGCTGTTTCCAGTGACCAGTTACCCATTTTTATCCCTCTTCATCCCGTCTTCTCCCCCTCACAGGATACCCCCAACCCAGCAACATCCTGCAACGCTTGGCAGCTCTCACCTTCAGTTACCTTCCTAAGACAAAAAATTCCCAATTCCAAAATACACGGTGACCTTAAAAACAAAACAGCTATTTTTACCAGAAAAGAAAAAAAATAGGGAACAGCAAAGAATTTCAATTTGGGACAAGTTTTAGCAAAAGCCATAGGGAAGTCCTACATATAAAGGAGAGGAATGCTTTTATGGAGGAAAAAGGAGGAAGTTATTGGAAGGGTTGCTTTAAGAGGAAGTCCATCAGAGAAAAGTGAGAGTTAAGAGAGATTATAGTTTTTCACTGGGTGGGTAACCAGGATAGTGGGAATGTGCAGAACCTTTCTGTTGAGGGTCTATCATCCACACTCTAACGCCTGTAAGTGACGTGGAGTGGTACTGTGTGAGAGCGCCCCCTGCTGGCCTCCCCACTCCATTTTAGTGAGGTTTTCCCCTTATTTTTTTTTTTAATTCTATGTCATTGTTTCAAGTGTTACAAATAGTAGTACATATGTCTCCTTTTCCCCCCCATTGACCTTCCCCTGGCCTCCCCTCCCCTCCCCTCACCCCGCACATGCCCTCACCCCACATGCCCAGTGTCTTGTGTCCATTGGTTATGCTTATATGCATGTGTACAAGTCCTTGGGTTGATCTCTTATCTCCCCTACCTCTCCCTAACCCTCCCACTGTAATTTGACAGTCTGTTCAGTGCTTTATTGCCTCTATATCTATCTTTTTGTTCATCAGGTTACAATGTCCTTTATTATCCATAAATGAGTGAGATCATGTGGTATTTTTCTTTCACTGCCTGGCTTCACTTAGTATAATGCTGCTGCGAATGGTAAGAATTCCTTCTTTTTTATAGCTCCCCTTATTTTCATACAACCTTACTCATGCCAGGGATTCCAGATGAGCAATTAAGAAACTGGCCAGGTAGCTCAGTGGGCTGGAGCTAATCGGGTACACCGAACGATTGTGAGTTTGATTCCTGGTCAGGGCACATACCTCCGTTTTGAGTTGGATCACCACCAGTCCGGGCATGTAAGGGAGGCAACCAATCCATGTTTCTCTCTCACCCCCCCCCCCATCTTCCCTTTTCTCTAAAAAAAACAAAACAAAACAAAACAAAACAACATAAAAGCATATCCTTGGGTGAGGATTTTTTTAAAAAAAGAAATGAAAGAAACAGCTCTATTCCCATTTCACATATGTGGAAACTGAGGCTTAGACAAGGGGACAGAACTCAGGGTCAAACTAGACTCTCACCTTCTCCAGCGGGGTGACCTTGCGTGAGTTACCTCTCCCCTCTTCCTTGCTGGCCCTATGGGTAATAACACCCGACTCCCGAGGCTCTGTAAATCAAATATTTATTGGTCACTCATTGTAAGAGGTCTGACAGACAAGGAACTTCTGATCTGGAGAATGAATGGGTGACCACAGTAGTTGTGGGGTGTAACCTGATGGACATCTCCCTCCCCTGAAGGGACCCAAGTGCCTGCAGGCCACAGCTAAAGTTCTCCAAACTTTCTGGAAGGAGAGAAATGAAACATACCTTTAAAAATATATATTTTATTGATTTTTACAGAGAGGAAGGGAGAGGGTAGAGAATTGGAAACATTGATGAGAGAGAAACATCGATCAGCTGCCTCGTGCAACTCTCCTCTCCCCCCACCCCCGACTGGGGGATGTGCCCACAACCAAGGTACATGCCCTTGACCGGAATCGAACCTGGGACCCTTCAGTCTGCAGGCTGATGCTCTATCCACTGAGCCAAATCAGGAGGACAAAAGATACTTTGAAATAAGGTACTGAGAGAGCAGAGCAAGGTGTTTCACTGTAAGTAGAACGTGAGTACTGTGTGAGAGTGAGCAATTTCTCTGCTGTGTTCAAGTCATCACAGTGAAGGTGTGAGTTTCTTGGGACTGCCTGAAAAGTACCCGTAAACCCTCGATGTTGCAGACCTTCATTTAATGGACTTCAGATTTAATGGACAAAATTTCCTGGCCATATGTCACATGTGAAAATTAACGCCCTGTTAATTTTACAATGTTTTTAACTCATATTTGCTTATAATGAAATTAACAGGGGTTTTTCTTATTATTAATTCACTAGTTTTGGTGTGTGCGTGTGTGTTTTGTTAATCCTTACCCAAGGATATTTTCTCCATTGATTTTAGAGAGAGTGGAAGGGAGAGAGAGAGAGAGAGAGAAATTGGTCGCCTCCTGCACACGCCCTGACAAGGACCAAGATCAAACCTGCAACCCAGGTAAGTGCCCTTGACCTGGATCAAACCCAAGACCCTTTGGTGCCCAAGTTGACACTCTAACCACTGAGCAACACTGGCCAGGGCTACGCTGTTTTGTGAGTTGTTGTTTTTTTAATTTAAGCCCAGTTGGCCACCAGGAGCCCTTTTTAGTAGGTGTTTTATTTTCTTTTAACAAAAAAAAAATTAATTTTATTGATTTTGAGAGGAATTGAGAGGGATAGAGAGCTAGAAACGTCGATGAGACAGAAACATTGACCAGCTGCCTCTTGCACACCTCCCACTGGGGATGTGCCTGCAACCAAGGTACGTGCCCTTGACCGGAATCGAACCCGGGACCTTTCAGTCCACAGGCCAACACTCTATCCACTGAGCCAAACTGGTTTCAGCAGGTGTTTTATTTTCCTTAGGGTTCACAGTCACACCTAGAGATCCTTAACTTGGTTACATCTTTAAATGTTGTTATTCCTCCGAATAAGGTCACAGTCACAGGTCCTTCGGGTTGGAACTTGGTTGTATCTGTTTGGGGACCATCATTTCAACCACTACAGCTGGAAAGAGGGTTAGCATGGTGGTTCTCACCTGCCCCCGGGGGACACTTGGCAACATTTGGAGACATTTTAATTGTCACAACTAGGAAAGCGGGGAGTGCACTATCAGCATCTAGTGGGCAGAGGCGCAGGGGCTGCTAACATCCTGTCATGTACAGGACAACCCCCACCACAAAGAATGGCCTGGCCCCGAGTGGAGAATTCTGGCGGAGCTGGTGGCTTCAGTCACGCAGCCTGACACCGTCCTTCACGGGGTGATTAGTCAGCGGGTCAGCTCCTGCCAGGATCCGTGCTTCCCCTGTAAAATGGGCAACACTGCACAGGCCTTGCAGACTGTGCTGAGGACACAGCCCTGGCACCTCATCAGCATGGCAGAAGGGTTCACTGCGGAGACGGTTCTGCCCTCAGTGCCCTCTCGAATCCCCAGCAGGCCTGGATTTCCAGGGTTCTGGCAAAGACGACGGGAAGGACATCTGACTAGGAAATTGTTTCCACATGGAGAGAGGCAGGCACATCTGGAAGGGATCCATGCATGGAGCCTTGACAGCGTGAAGTAAACTCGGCAATGAGGATTTGTGGTTTTCCTTTTTTTATTTTTTAAAATATATTTTATTGGTTTTTCACAGAGAGAAAGGGAGAGGGATAGAGAGTTAGAAACATCGATGAGAAACATTGATCAGCTGCCTCTTGCACACCCCCTACTGGGGATGTGCCCGCAACCAAGGTACATGCTCTTGACAGGAATCAAACCCGGGACCTTTCAGTCCGCAGGCCGACGCTCTAGCCACTGAGCCAAACCAGTTTCAGCTGTGGTTTTCCTTTTATTGTGTAAATCCAATAATACCAAGTTTCCTTCAGGGTTTCCCATGTTTCCCCAGGCCCCGAAAAATCCTCTAGAGCAGGCGTTTTCGTAAGCTACTGCTGTGTAACAAATTACCCCAAACCCAGTGGCTTCATACTGTCACCAGAAAGGGGCTGGGACTGAAGAAGGTCTGCCCTGGGGAAATCTGGAATATCTGGGTTCTTGACTCTGTGCAGGAGTTTATGATTTGAGTTCAGGTGATTTGGAGAGCACATTTGCGAAAGCCGGGGACAGTGAAACAAAGGAAGGACTTAAGAAAGAAGAGGCAATAAGAGTGAGCTTAGGCGGAGCTGCCTAGACTCAGGGAAGGAAGTCACAGTGACAGAAATGAATGTACTGGGCCGTGTGGACTTAGGAAACACGTTACAGAGGCAAAAGGAGGGCCCTTGGAGGTAAATTCAGGGAGTTAGCCTGAGACAAGTTGCTGCTGCCTGCTGCTCCCCTGGTTGCAAGTCTTGTAGAACCCCTGGGAGATTAGGAGTGAAAAAGCAAAAGATACACGCCTCAGGAAAGGGTGGGGAGGACATGGGTGAGCTCACGGGAGAGCCAGGACTGGCATCCTTTCTTTAAAATATATCTTATTGATTTTTTACAGAGAGGAAGGGAGAGGAATAGAGAGTTAGAAACATCGATGAGGGAGAAACATTGATCAGCTGCCTCCTGAGCACCCCCTACTGGGGATATGTCCGCAACCAAGGTCTATGCCCTTGACCGGAATCGAACCTGGGACCTTTCAGTCCGCAGGCTGACGCTCTATCCACTGAGCCAAACCCGTCAGGGCAGCACTGGCATCCTTTATCTCAGGGGTTTTTGTATTTTTTAAATATATCACACACGGCCGAAACCGGTTTGGCTCAGTGGTAGAGTGACAGTCCGATTCCGGTCAAGGGCATGTACATTGGTTGCGGGCACATCCCCAGTGTGCAAGAGGGGGCTGGTCGATGTTTCTCTCTCATCGATGTTTCTAGCTCTCTATCCCTCTCTCCTCCTCTCTGTAAAAAAATCAATAAAATATATTTTAAATAAATAAATAAATATATCACACACACAATTATTATTATTGTTGTTGTTATTATTATTGATTTGAGAAAGAGAAGGGAGGAGAGAGAGAAACATCAATGATGAGTGGACACCCCCTTACTGGAGATTGAGCCTGCAACCTGGGCATGTGCCCTGACCAGGAATTGAACTGTCATCTCTTGATTCATAGGTGGACCTACGCTAACCACTAACAACACCAACTGGATAAGGCTTAGCCATTGTTTATATACACTATTTGGTTAACCACACATTGATTTCTCCTTTGCAATCGGCTACAATTTATCTGGTTGGGTTCCTGTCAAGCTCATCCTGTTTCCAGTTGTCTGCAAAAACTCTGTGTGTGTGTGCTACATGTTAACATTTAATAGTAACGTTTAGAGCTGCCCCGACCTTGACACCCTTGTCCTCTCTAATACTGGGAGCATCTGGAGGAAGCACTCCAAGAGAGTGAGCGCGGAAAATGAGAGTCATCTGCACACTCACACCTTCTGCCACATTCTGTTGATGGAAACAAGCCACAAGCCAGCCTGGAGTCACGGAGAGGGGAACAGGTTTCCATCTCCTGGAGGAATGGGCTGCAAAATACGATGGCCATGATTTCCAACCTTGCACATCAGGGGACGGTAAGGTAGACCGTCCTGACAGAATTCAGGGGGCGGGAGTCATCTTTATTTTCATTCACTTCTCACTGGAATCTAGCAAACCTCTCAAGCTTGTCAAAGCAGGCGTGGGCCGGTCCTGTGACCCTTTCACCAGTGGAAACCCACATCCTGGTCACTTCACATCCTGGTCACGGCAGACACCTCAAAACACCACTTACGCTCACCTCCACTGGAGATTGCAGTGACTAGCAGAGCCCTGGGGAATCGGGGTTACTTAGTGTGTTCATGAAGAAGCTTGTGTGTTTACATCGCATAAGAAAAAAGTTTCATACCATAGGTCAGTCTGATGGGTTTCCTTTGCAGTCCTGTGCATTTTTAACATATTTTAATCAATTTTTTTACAGTGGAAGAGAGAGAATTAGAGAGTTAGAAACATCAATGAGAGAGAAAAACATTCATCAGCTGCCTCCTGCACGCCCCCCATTGGGGATGTGCCCGCAACCAAGGTACATGCCCTTGACCTGAATCGAACCTGGGACCCTTCAGTCTGCAAGCTGATGCTCTATACACTGAGCCAAACCGGTTTGAGCTAGTCCTGCGCATTTTTATTTTAAAATATATTTTATTGATTTTTTACAGGGAGGAAGGGAAAGGGATAGGGAGCTAGAAACATCGATGAGAGAGAAACATCGAGCAGCTGCCTCCTGCATACCCCCTACTGGGGATGTGCCCACAACCAAAGTACATGCCCTTGATCGGAATTGAACCCAGGACCTTTCAATCCGCAAGCTGACGCTCTATCCACTGAGCCAAACTGGTTTCAGCTAGTCCTGGGCATTTTTAAAATGCATCTGCAGTTATCCCTTGAGACGGGGCCCTGGCAGCTGCCCTCTGCCCTGGGAGACTGCAGAATCGGGTCAGAATCAGGTCATGGCTCAGGCAGATTAGCGAGGTCCCGAACTGACCTCCTAAGGATCCCTAATCCCGGGCAGCAGCCAGCCAGCAGGCGCAGGGCTGCTCAGGTCCTGCACCCTCTCCCACGCCCTCGCCGAGGCTGCCATGGCCGCCCTATTCTCTGGCCGGGTTCTGATCCGAAACAACGGCGACCAGGACGAGCTGGACACGGAGGCGGAGCTCAGCAGCAGGCTGGACAACCGGCTGGTGCTGCTGTTCTTCGGCGCAGGGTCCTGCCCGCGCTGCCAGGCCTTCGCGCCCGTCCTCAGGGACTTCTTCACTCGCCTCACGGATGAGTTCTACGTGCTGCGCGCGGCCCAGCTGGCCCTGGTGTACGTGTCCCAGGACACCACCGGGGAGCAGCAGGACCTGTTCCTCAAGGACATGCCCAGGAAGTGGCTCTTCCTGCCCTTCGAGGACGACCTGAGGAGGTGAGGGGGGAGGGAGGTCAGGGAGGGCTTCCTGGAGGAGGGGATGTTTCTGCTGTGAAGTATTTTGTTTGTTTGTTTTATTGATGACAGTATTACAGATGTCCCCCACATTTCCCCCTCCACCTAGTCCCCACCCCAATCCAGGCCTTCACCGCACTGTTGTCTCTGTCCATAAGCTATGCATATAAGTTCTTTGGTTAATCTCTCCCTGCTCCCCTCCTCCTCTCCCCTCTGAGATCTATCAGACTGTTCCAGGCATCCATGCCTCTGGACCTATCCTATTTATTGTTCTTCTTCTTCTTTTTTTTTTTTTTTTACAGAGAGGAAGGGAGAGGGATAGAGAACTAGAAACATCAATGAGAGAGAAACATCAACCAACTCTTCCTGCACACCCCCCTACTGGGGATGTGCCCGCAACCAAGGTACATGCCCTTGACCGGAATCGAACCTGGGACCTTTCAGTCCCAGGCCGACGCTCTACCATGGAGCCAAACCGGTTCTGGCTGTTTATTGTTCTTTAGGTTCCACATATAAATGAGATCATGGGAAATTTATCTTTTTCTGGCTGGCTTATTTCGTTTAGCATTAATAGTCTTCAAGTCCATCCATGCTGTTGCAAAGGGCAAGAGGTCCTTCCTTTTTACAGCTGCAGTGTTCCATTGTGTAAATGTACCACAGCTTTTTTATCCACTCATCTACTGATGGGCACTTGGGCTGTTTCCAGATCATAGCGATTGTAAATAACTGCTTCGAGCAAAAGATTGCATATATTTTTTCTGATTGGTATTTCGGAATTCTTAGGATATATTCCCAGAAGTGGGATCGCTGGGTTAATTTTTAATTTTTTTTTAATTTTTTGAGTAAACTCCATACTGTTTTCCATAGTGGCTGTGCCAGTCTGCATCCTCGCCAGCACTTCCTGTTTGTTGATTTATTGATGGTAGCCATTCTGGCAGGTGTGAGGTGATATCTCGTAGTTTTATTTTGCATCTCTCTGATGATTAGTGATGTTGAACATTTTTTCATGACTATGGGCCATCTATATGTCCTCTTTGGAGAAGTGTCTACTCAGGTCCTTTGCCCATTTTAATATTTTATTGCTTTCAGAGAAAAAGGGAGAGGGAGAGAGAGATAGAAACATCAATGATGAGAGAGAATCATTGATCGACTTCCTCCTGCATACCCCACACTAGGGATGGAGCCCACAACCCAGGCACGTGCCCTTGACCGAAATTGAACCCGGGACCCTTCAGCCCACAGGCCAAACCGAAATCGAACCTGGGACCCTTCAGCCCACAGGCCAAACCAGCTAGGGCTATGGCTATTTTAGAACTTTTCCCTTTTCTGCTGTAAGCCTTTCACTCTTTTTTAAACCCCAACTTTTTATTATGAAAATTGTCAAAAAGTTGGAAGAAGCGCACAAGGAAACGCTAGGTCATTGTTAACATGTTGCCATATTTGCTGTATCTACTGGTACATATGCGCTAAGTTTGTGCTGAAACATTTGAAAGTGAGCTGCAGACTTCGTGGCATTTTCTGATTTCATTCATTTTGTTACACAACAAAGTTTCTGGTCATGAAGAACATCATTCTCCACCCAAGTTTGGACATTGGCTCACTCCCACTGCCCTCTGCAGCTGGTGCGGGGGTGGGGGGGAGTTCGGGGTCCTGTCCCCAGAAGTGGCAACATTGCCCTCCCCAAGGCAGAAATGCCAGCTGCCAGGGCATCGTGGAAAAGGCTGACCTTGTTTGAAACACTCCTTTCAACAAAACAGGCACCCAGCTGTAACTGAAGTGAGCCCATTCCAACCCTCCACCCCAACCCACCCATCCACCCACCCCACCAGATTGCCAGATATAGATGCCCAGTAAAACACAGATTTCACTATGAATAATTTCTTAGTATAAGCTTGTCCTACATATATTACAAGGGAGGCCCGGTGCACGAAGATTCGTGCAAGAATGGGCCTTCCTTACCCTGGCTGCCAGGACTGCCTTTGCTTTGGCCCGGAGCCGCCTTTCTGCCTTCCCACGCTGCCCAGAGGCCCGGAGTGGCTCCTGCGGTGTGGAATGCCTGCATCATCGCCATGGTGACGATGCAGGTGCCCTGCCCTGCCCCCAGCCACTTGGCGCCTGTGTATGCAAATTAACCCACCATCTTTGTTGGGTTGATTTGCATCCTGGCTCCTGATTGGCTGGTGGGCATCACAAAGGTATGGTCAATTTGCATCTTACTCTTTTATTAGTGTAGATTATTTGTTTATATGAGATTCATACTTCACTGGGTGTCCTGTATTTTCACTTGCTGTCAGGCCACCTGCCCCTGTGGGGTTTTGCAGGTATCCTGTGTTCTCAGCGTGGAGGCTGGAAAAGGGCCATCGGCGAACCAAGGGGGCGGGAATTAAGGACCGAGGGTGAGGCTTTCCCTCTCCTCTTCCCCCCGTGAGTTAGCCTTGCCTTTCCCTCTCCTAAGCCGAAGGGCCCTTCTTCTGCCTCTAACTTGTTTCCTGAGCCTACGCAGTCCAGCTGGCTCGCTTCTGCTACTTCCATAACTTTCTATTATAATTTGGAGAAAAAAGAAAGAAAGAAAGAAAGAACGGTGGGTGATGGGCCCAGTCTGGCTCCCTTTGCTCCACGCAGACGGTGAGGGATTCTGGCCTAGACGGGTCCTGGATCTCCTGGGGCTGCGGGTGGTTCTCACCAGCTTCCCCCTCAGACTGAAAAAGGAAACATTGTGGCCCTGTGGGGAGTGTGTGTGATCAAGTTAGCACCCCAATCTCCTTCCACCTCAGGGCCTTTGCCTGGGACCCCTACACCTTCTGCCTGGGACCGTTCCCTCAGCTTCCCCGGCCCGTCCCCTTCCTCCTGCAGATCTCAGCTCAAAGGTCACCTCCTGGGAGAGGCCCTCCCTAACCACCAGCCCCTCACTCACACTTCTTTATGGCCTTTATCAATATTCCTTCATCCCTCCCCCACATTTCCAGAGTGCCTACTCTGCGTCCCACTCTGTTTCAGGCACTGGAGACACCAATGAGTAAGAACAGAACCCCGTGCCCTGGCGAAGCTGGTTGTGTTGAGGGAGGAAGGGAGAGATCACCAGTGCAATGTGCTGGGTGCTGAGAGGCCCGGAACAGCAGGGGGAACGGAGGTGCTGCGGGGGGAGGTTGGGCCTCCATGGGGAGAGGTCCGGGAAGGTGCTCAGGCAGAGCAGACAGGAGGCGGCCGTGCGAAGTCCCTGAGATGCGAGCGAGTCTGCCGCTATGGCCGGGCCTGGTCCGGGCAGTGCCCGTGGGGCGCCCAGGAGAGGGGGGCTCCAGGCTGGGGGTCACCGGCCTGCCGCCCTGCAGGGAACTCGGGCGCCGGTTCTCGGTGGAACGGCTGCCCGCCGTCGTGGTGCTCAAGCCGAGCGGGGAGGTGCTCACGCGCGACGCGGCCGAGGAGATCCGGCGCCTGGGCCCCGCCTGCTTCGCCAACTGGCAGGAGGCGGCGGAGCTGCTGGACCGCGGCTTCCTGCCGCCCGAGGACCTGGACGACCCCGCGCCCCGCAGCCTCACCGACCCGCTGCGCCGCCGCAAGTACCGCGTGGACCGGGCGGAGCGGGGCGCGCAGGGCCCGGCCGCGGGGGGCGCCCCCGGGTCCGAGGGCGGCGCCGGGGAGCTGTTCTGACCTGGGGCTGGGGGGGGGGGGAGGCAGAGGGGGTTCTGTGATGACACCTCCGAAGAGGCGGGGTGGGATGGGGGTGTTCTGACCCCCTGGCGGGGCGGGTTTATGGGGCGCCCTCACCCCTCACCCCTTCCCTCTTCCCCGGTGGTGCGTGGGGCCGGGGCTACTCTCAGCTCCCCAAGGTGGAACCAGGGGTGAGGACGGCAGAATCAGACGGGCCCACAGGGTGCTCGGGGAGGGACCATCCTGAGTTCTGTCCTGAGGTGGGACCCCAGCAGGAGGCTCTACCCGGGAGGGGGAGTGTAGAGGGGAGGGGTTTAGGGGGAAAGAAAAAGTCCAGAGTTCTCCAGATGGTGGGAAAGGCCCCTGGGGAGTGGGAAGGGCCTTTTGTTGTTGTTATTCTTCACCCTGGGACATTCTTTCCATTGATTTTTTAAAAAATGTATTTTATTGATTTTTTACAGAGAGGAAGAGAGAGGGATAGAGAGTTAGAAACATCAGTGAGAGAGAATCATCAATCAGCTGCCTCTTGCACAGATGTGCCCGCAACCAAGGTACATGCCCTTGACTGGAATCGAACCTGGAACCTTTCAGTCCGCAGGCTGACGTTCTATCCACTGAGCTAAACCGGTTTTGGCTCCATTGAGTTTTTAAAGATATAGTGAAAGGGAGGGAGAGAGAGGAGGGGAGGGGGGGAGGGGGGAGGGGGAATGGATGTGAGGCACATTGATTGGTTGCCTCCCACACGCCCCTGCATCCCAGTTACTTGCCCTTGACCAGGAATCAAACACAAGATCCTTCATGAGCAGATGCTCTACCCACTGACCCAGGCAGGTCAGGGCAGAGAAGGGTCTTTCTGAGGCCCAGGGTGGGAACTGGAGGAGTTTGTTCTGATTCGGCACCCCCCCCACCCGCCCCCGCCCCCAGGTGAAGGGTGGGACCTGGGGCTGGACAGAGGTCTGGCTGTGAGATACCCTCTCCCAAAAGGGGGCGGACCCAGGCCTGGCCTGGCCTGCAGAGGCGCGTCTGAGCCTCCTGTCCCGGGCTCCGGAAATATTGTTAAGACCTGGGTGAGGTGGAATGGTTACTGAGCCCAACATGGGAAAATGCAAATAAAATAGAATAATGGTGCTGAGGACGCTCAGCCCATCTTCCGTGAAATGAGATGTCCAAGTGCAATTGTGCATCTGAATCCTGTATAATTTTGTTAAGCAGTGTCACCCCAATACATTCAATAAAAGGGGGGAAATGAGTGGTCCATATGTTTATTTAATATGCAACACTACAATCCTTTATCGTTTATATGGGAGATGCATTTCAATACTTGGTGCCATGGATGCTGGGGTCCCGAATGTTCCTGGAGAGACAACAGGATCCTATATAATAAAGAGCTAATAATGGTAATTAGGTCGAACAGCAGAACGACAGTCGGGACGACCTTCCGGACAAAATCTGGGCTGCAAGAGCCAAGCCCCTTGCACGAATTTCAAACATCAGGCCTTTAGTTCAATGATTCTCTCTCATCGATGTTTCTAACTCTCCCTCTCTCTTCCTCTCTGTAAAAAAAAAATCAATAAAATGTTTGTTTGTTTTTTAAATCAAAACTCCAGCCTGGAGCCTGTAAGACTAGGACAGTCTTGGCTGTAAGACTAGGACAGTCACCTCCCGTCTCTAAGCCTCCTTTCTTTCTTCTGAAAAATGACACGAAGGCTGGGTCCTATCTGGCAGGTCCCAGAGGACTGGAGCTATCTAGGCGCCAGGAACCTCTCGGTTTTGCCTCTGGCGCCACCTGAGGGAGGGATGCGGAGCCAAGTTCTGGGGAGGCGGAGCCAAACCTGTAAATGAGATGGAAACCCCTGATCTCCAGAAAAGTCCAGACGGCCGCTGCTCTGGACCTGGGAGGCCCAGGACCGGGCTGGTGAGCGCCTATTTTATCCTCACCCCGAATCCCCGCTCTCCAGCTGAGGACAGGGAGGATCAGCCGGCCATGCCGCCTATTTCAGGCTTCAGCCGGGTTTCCCTCTGCGGACCCCTGTCCGCCGCCTGTGCATCGGACCCTGTGGGATAACGGCTCTTAAACCCAGGACACCCGACAGGAGGGCGCAGGCTCACCTGCAGCTTTGGGAAGACAACGGTTCTGTGGGGTTTTCATTGATGAGAGGGAGAGAGGTGGCACACGCCCTGACTAGGCATGGGCCCGACCCGAATCCACCCGGCAACGTCTCTCCGGGGACCCAGAGGATGCTCCGACCAACCGAGGGGGCCGGGGCACAACAACAATGAAACAGGTGCTTGGGCCGGAGGCGGGGGTGCTTTAGAGACCTCTAGGGGTCCCTGCAGGGAATTACCACTCCCTTGCCCCTTGTGGGGGGGCACCCCCTCCCCTATTGGCCCCGCCCCCCGCCGGCCCCTCCCCGCCGGCACCGGGGCGGGAGGGGAGGAAAGATTGTCTCAAGTTTTCGCAGAACTTCCTCGTCCCCAGTGCGACCCGTATCCCGAAGCTCCTGAAGTCACCCCCACTTTCCAACGCCCCTGCACCCCCGTCCCCTTCAGGACCCCTGTCCTCTCCCGCCCCCCAACTCCCCTGCCCCCTGGACATCTCCGGCCCCTGGACGGCCCCGCCCGCCCCCATGGTCCGCTCCTACAGCGACCGGGCGCTGGCCGCGCTGGTCCTGCTGGGGGTGCCGGCGGCCGTGCTGGCGGCACTGGGCGCGCAGCTGCTGTTCCAGCTGCAGGCGGGCCGCGCCGAGCTGCGGGGGGCGCGCGCCGACGGGCTGGGCGCGGAGCTGGGCGCGGGGCCGGGGCTGCCCGAGGACGCGGCCGGGGCGCTGCTGCCGCTGGCCGCCGCACTGGCCGCGCTGGTCCTGGTGCTGAGCCTCGCCTGCCTGCTGCTCGCCGCGCTCTGCGGCCACCTGGGCGCCGAGCTGGCCCGCGGGCCCGGCTCCGGCAGGTAGGAGGACTGGCGAGCCCAGGAGAGCCACTACCACTCTCTGGGCCTCAGGTTGGGGAGTGGGAGGGGGGGGAAAGGGGGGGTAGGTGGCTTTCCTTCCTTCCCCATCCCTCCATCCATGTACCCTTCCCCCCCCTCCTTTCTTCCATCCCTGCCTCCCTCTCTCTGTTCTGTTATTGAAAATATGCAGCAGGTGGAAATACTGCTGCGACCCTCCTCCTCCCCGCCCCACGCCCCACCCGCTTTACAAATGTGCCCACGGAGGCTCAGAGGGGGCCAGGGGGCAGCTAGCTCTCTGGCGGAAGCTCTTGTCCTTCAGGGGGGATTGGGCTCTGAGTGCAGAGAGACCCTGGGGCAGGCTTAGGGCTGATAGTGCTGGGTCCATGAGTGGGTGGATGGGTGCATGGATGGGTGGATTAGTGGCCGGATGAGTTTATAGGGCGTGGTTAAACGGATGGGTAGCTATATGGCTGAATAATCGACAGGAATGGATGGATGGTAAATGGCGGCAAACATTCACCTGGAACAATGGGTGAGTGTCCAGGATGGATCCTCACACAGATCTTGTTTCCCCCAAAGCTGGGCCGCTCCCTCCTTCTCTCCCCAGCCTCCCCCAGCCAGCTCCACCCCAGAGCCCTCTCTTCCTGCCCCTCCCCCAGGTCTGACTGGTTCTTCTACGACTGCCGCCTCCTCAGGCACGTGGCCGTGGGCCTCTTCTGCTGCGGGGTCTCCGTCTACCTGGCAGGTGCGTGCAGGGGCAGGACGTGGGGTGCGGGGGCCCTGGGTGGGGATGGCCAGGGCTGATGGTCCCATTACTGGGTCAACTCTGGAGCCCCTATGGCTGTGTTTTTCTCACTGGGGGAGGGGAGGGGGTCCGCCTTGGGAAAATTCCTTCTGTGCCTCAGTTTCCTCATCAGTACAATGGGATGATAACAGTTTGTTGCTTCATAGAATTGCGGAGAGGATTTTGAGTTAATCCCCCTAAAAGCCCACATATGGCATCTGGCTCCAGAGGGGTGGGGGTAGAGGTGGGGGTGGGGGTGGGGATTCATAAGTGGTACCTGTCTTCAGAACACTGATTCGTCAGTTTTCTACTTTTGGTTTTGAACAAAACTTTCCATGTCCTTGGTAGTTTCAGGGGATAGTTTCAGAGGTTGGTCTTAGCAAAAAACTGTTTTGGTTACAAATATCAGAACTTCCAGCTCAAGAATGGCTTAAGGAGCTGGTGGGGGTTGGGGGGCGGTGGGGGGAGATACTCTATATAAACCAGAAATGCAATGTAAAACCCCCAAACATGAAGGAGAGTAAAAACAATTAGCTGGCTGGCAGAGGACCCATCACCCTCTTTTCCTCTCTGACTTTTAATAACTTAGATCAATGTTCTCACCCACACCTGCTGGTAAAGGCATCACATCATCAAGTTTCTTTAAAGAGACTCGGACGTGTTATATTTTGTTATAATCTTGACAAATGTTTAGGAGACACAATTAAAATGCGTACTTATGAGATGTGAGCCTAAGGCTCATTCTGGGAATTTGTATGTGAAGTGCAGGGAACTCTGCTTAACTTTTGTTGTTTGGCTTAAGAAAATGCTCCAGACATGGGGTGTGTGTTGTTTTTTTTAAAGGAGAGTGGAGCCCTAGCCAGTTTTCTCAGTGGCTAGAGCATCAGCTCTGTGACTGTAGGGTCCCAGGTTTGATTATGGCCACGGGCACATACCTCGGTGACAGACCTGATCCCTGGCCCCGGGTCAGGGTGCATGGAGGAGGCAACCAAGGGATAGGAGATGTTTCTCTCTCTGTCTCTCCCCCTTCCTTCCACTCTCTCTAAAAATCAATGGAAAAAGTATCCTTGAGTGAGGATTAACAACAACAAAGAGAGTGGATGGGGTGACTGTCTGAAGAGACCAGGGGATTGTTGGTCCCAGATGGGGTTGAATCCAGCTGCTCAAACCAGGTCATCTTCCAAATGCCGCCAGTTTCCCCTTAGAAAGATGCCTGCATCCGTGCTTTTGACAAAATGCCTACAACTTCCCGTCTTTTCATGAGCCAGC